ATGAGTAGCATGTTCAACAAGGTTTTAAATCAAGTTGTGCATTCAAGAAGGGATTTTCATTACCATTTCAAAAAAACAACTATTCTGAAAAACCAATACAACCGTAACTAAAAGATTAAATGATTGTGAAAACTCAGCCTTACTCCTGCCTTTCTCCCCTACATCTTCTATTGTTTCCATCTTATCTTTTTTTTATATAGATTTTGTAAGCCCTTTGGGCTAGAAACCTGTTCTTTGTAAAGTGTCATGTGCAGCATCATAAATACTTATACACTGCTGCTACTCTTCCTGCTGCAATTGTTCCAAAACACAGAGGCTTGAGAATTCAATTCTTGGCCCAGTTCAAGGTGCTCATGTAGTTTGAAGCCCTGAATGACTTAGGCCCCAAATATCTAAAATACTGCCTATGTCTCTACAGCCCCCTTATATACAGTCCCGCCTTCTTTTTGTGATTGTAAGTTGTTTTATTAAACTGCCTTTAACATTGTGCTTTCATTGTTGCAACCTTAGATGGGACCTTAGGTGAAGGGCGGTATTAAAACAGCAGCAGCAGCAGCAGCAGCAACTCTCTAGCGGCAGTTGTGCCTTTAGGCATAAGAAATCTTTGACAATCCTTGGATTCTTAGATCACGGACTGCAGTTTCTTGAAGATGGACTTCTGGCAAGCGAGGGGCTGCACCTCACAACGGTTGGGAGGAATGTTTTTGCCAAAAATCTCAGAAACCTCATCAGGAGGGCTTTAAACTGACTAATGTGGGGGAGGGAGACAGTGCTCCTGAAGGTAGGAGTCTATCAATTGATGAAGATGATCATCCAAATGTCATAGACCAAATGGAGCAAACAGCACACAGACCTAGTGGTGGGAGGAAAAAATCCTTAAATAAGAGTCACGGGGAATGATTAATGGACTTCAATGTCTGTACACTAATGCGCAAAGCATGGGAAATAAACAAGATGAGCTTGAGCTCTTGGTACAGCAAACTAAATATGACATAATAGGCATCACTGAAACCTGGTGGGATAAGTCCCACGATTGGAATGTAATAATGGGGGATACAATCTATTTCAGAGAAACAGACCAGACAAGAAAGGAGGAGGAGTGGCGTTATATGTCAGGGATGTGTATACCTGTGAAGAGATCCAAGATTTAGAACCTCAAAGCCAAAGTGAGAGCATTTGGGTCAAAATTAAGGGAGAGAAGAATAACAGTGACCTCATTGTGGGAGTTTACTATAGATCCCCAAGCCAAACGGAGGACATAGATGATGCCTTCCTGGAACAGATGGCCAAGCATGCAAAAGGAAGGGAGATAGTAGTAATGGGGGACTTCAATTACCCGGATATTTGTTGGATGTCAAACTCAGCCAAGAGCATAAGGTCAAACAGATTCCTCACTGGCCTTGCAGACAACTTCATTGTCCAGAAAGTGGGAGAAGCAACAAGAGGAACAGCCATTTTAGATCTGGTCCTAACCAATGTTGATGACCTGGTTAGTGGGGTAGAAGTGGAAGGATCATTAGGCGCGAGTGATCATGCTCTTCTGAAGTTTACTATACAGCGGAAAGGAGCAGCCAAGCATACTAGGACTCAATTTCTTGACTTTAAGAAAGCTGACTTCATAAAACTTAGGGAAGTGCTGGGTGAGATCCCATGGACAGTAATACTAAAAGGAAAGGAAGTTCATGATGGCTGGGAGTTTGTTAAGAGGGAGATAGTAAAAGCACAACATCAGGCAATACCAATGAGACAGAAACATGGAAGGTGCCTAAAGAAGCCAGGGTGGCTATCTAAAGAACTTTTAACTGAGTTAAGATTAAAAAAAGGATGTGTACAAAAAATGGAAAAGGGGGGAAACCACCAAAGAGGAATTCAAACAAATAGCCAGCACGTGTAGACACAAAGTCAGAAAAGCTAAAGCACAGAATGAACTCAGGCTTGCTAGAGAGGTTAAAAGCAACAAAAAAGGCTTTTATGGGTATGTCCGTAGCAAAAGGAAGAACAAAGAAACAGTGGGGTCACTCAGAGGAGAAGATGGTGAAATGCAAACAGGGGACACAGAAAGAGCTGAACTCCTCAATGCCTTCTTTGCCTCAGTCTTCTCCGATAAAGAAAACAATGCCCGACCTGAAGAATTTGGAGCAAATGATTCAGCAAAGGAAACACAGCCCAGAATAACTAAGGAGATAGTACAAGAATACTTGGCTAGTTTAGATGTATTCAAGTCTCCAGGGCCAGATGAACTGCATCCAAGAGTATTAAAAGAACTGGCAGATGTGATCTCAGAACCACTGGCAGTCATCTTTGAGAATTCCTGGAGAACAGGCGAAGTCCCGGCAGACTGGAGGAGGGCAAATGTTGTCCCTATTTTCAAAAGGGGAAAAGAGAGGACCCAAATAATTACCGCCCAGTCAGTCTGACATCAATACCAGGGAAGATTCTGGAGCAGATCATTAAGCAAACAGTCTGTGAGCACCTAGAAAGGAATGCTGTGATCACCAATAGTCAGCATGGATTTCTGAAAAATAAGTCATGTCAGACTAACCTGATCTCGTTTTTTGACAGAATTACAAGCCTGGTAGATGAAGGGAACGCAGTGGATGTAGCCTACCTTGATTTCAGCAAGGCATTTGACAAGGTGCCTCATGATATTCTTGTAAAGAAGCTGGTAAAATGCGGTCTTGACTATGCTACCACTCAGTGGATTTGTAACTGGCTGACTGACCGAACCCAAAGGGTGCTCATCAATGGTTCCTCTTCATCCTGGAGAAGAGTGACTAGTGGGGTGCCACAGGGTTCTGTCTTGGGCCCGGTCTTATTCAACATCTTTATCAAAGACTTGGATGATGGACTCAAGGGCATCCTGATCAAATTTGCAGATGACACCAAATTGGGAGGGGTGGCTAACACCCCAGAGGACAGGATCACACTTCAAAATGACCTTGACAGATTAGAGAACTGGGCCAAAACAAACAAGATGAATTTTAACAGGGAGAAATGTAAAGTATTGCACTTGAGCAAAAAAAATGAGAGGCACAAATACAAGATGGGGGACACCTGGCTTGAGAGCAGTACATGTGAAAAGGATCTAGGAGTCTTGGTTGACCACAAACTTGACATGAGCCAACAGTGTGACGCGGCAGCTAAAAAAGCCAATGCAATTCTGGGCTGCATCAATAGGAGTATAGCATCTAGATCAAGGGAAGTAATAGTGCCACTGTATTCTGCTCTGGTCAGACCTCACCTGGAGTACTGTGTCCAGTTCTGGGCACCACAGTTCAAGAAGGACACTGACAAACTGGAACGTGTCCAGAGGAGGGCAACCAAAATGGTCAAAGGCCTGGAAACGATGCCTTATGAGGAACGGCTAAGGGAGCTGGGCATGTTTAGCCTGGAGAAGAGGAGGTTAAGGGGTGATATGATAGCCATGTTCAAATATATAAAAGGATGTCACATAGAGGAGGGAGAAAGGTTGTTTTCTGCTGCTCCAGAGAAGCGGACACGGAGCAATGGATCCAAACTACAAGAAAGAAGATTCCACCTAAACATTAGGAAGAACTTCCTGACAGTAAGAGCTGTTCGACAGTGGAATTTGCTGCCAAGGAGTGTGGTGGAGTCTCCTTCTTTGGAGGTCTTTAAGCAGAGGCTTGACAACCATATGTCAGGAGTGCTCTGATGGTGTTTCCTGCTTGGCAGGGGGTTGGACTCGATGGCCCTTGTGGTCTCTTCCAACTCTATGATTCTATGATTCTAAGCTTCAGAATCTCCTTTAAAAGGTTTGTTCTCTTGAAAGTTCACAACTGCATGCAACACTTTCATCATCAATCTGCCTATCACAGTCCTCTCCCTCTCCCTCACACTGCTGTTAAAGGCTTGAAGAGAGAGCATGTATTTAGCCGAGACTCAGGCTTCTTGTAACAACAAGGAAAACCACTGTGTTCAAGTTACAGGGTTATCCAATAGTTGCTTTGCACTAGTGGAAAGCACTTCCCCCTACATTGGGGGATGGGACATCTTTATCAGATCAAGGGCCACATTCCCTTCTGGGCCTTTCAGGGGCCACATGCCAGTGGTGGACAGGGCAAGAGTCAAAAGTGCTCAGAGCCGTAAACATGAATTTTACTTATAAGGCTATGTTTCTTCGCAACCAAACACCCCTCTCTACCTTCTGTTCAGGCAAGTGGAAGACATCATCCGAGTTCAAGGACAGGTTCCAGTCAGGCAAAAACAGTCAAGGAGGATACAAAGTGAAAGGCATGGCTAAGCAGGCCCGGAGAATGTCCCAAGGGCCAGACAGAGAGGCCTGAAGGGCAATGGGTTTCCATATCCCTTCCCTATATACTGGTGACCATCCCTTCCCTACCACCCTCTGTAACATATCTGAACATGTTTTGGAGGTTCCTCTAATCTTTCCAGGACGCAGGTGGCCCTGTGGTCTAAACCACTGAGCCAAGGGCTTGCCGATCAGAAGGTCGGCGGTTCGAATCCCTGCGATGGGGTGAGCTCCCGTTGCTCAGTCCCAGCTCCTGCCAACCTAGCAGTTTGAAAGCATGTCAAAGTGCAAGTACCGTATTTTTCGTCCTATAGGACGCACTTTTTCCCCTCCAAAAATGAAGGGGAAATGTGTGTGCGTCCTATGGGGCGAATGCAGGCTTTCGCTGAAGCCTGGAGAGCGAGGGGGGTCAGTGCACTAACAGGTTAGTGCACCTGTTAGTTACCTTCTACAACCTGTGAGAATCTAGCAGTCAGTATGTCCTCAACGTATCTCTGCAAAGCAGCTCCAAAGATGGTGTTCCACAATTGCTTCTAGCTATTTCTACAACAAAGCCAATAGATACTGAGAGATGTGGTTATAGACCCATTGTAATTAAGGGGCATAAATTCATTAATTTCAGTGGGTATTCTCTGAGCATGACTAATGCAAAATATACAACTGATATAACCCACCCAAAAATCGTTGCATGCTTACCTCCTCACCACCTCTCCCAAACAGCAAATCAGGATTATCTTTTTTTTTAAGAAAGAAGCTTTATTATGCAAATAGGAATGTGATTTTCATCATTCTCATTTACAATGGAATCTCTGAACTGGACAAATAATAGATAATTTCTGTACCTAGATCTAGCAAAATGTCATCTATTTACATTCAAGTTTACATCTTTTCTTCAAGTTCCACACTGGAGGCCGTCAAAACCACTTCAGCTGGGCTCCTATATGGCCATGAGTGAGGGAAGAAGTGCATCCACAGGTTTTCAAAGTTTTTCCTACAGCTACTCATCAGTTGAAGAGGCAAGCCAGTTTTAATAAAAGTGGCATGCCTGTTCAGCCAAGTGATTGCTGCCACAGAAACTTTCAAAACATATTTCATGCTTCAGCATGCATTTATCTCCCCTATCCACGCATGCAAGTGTCTAGGATCGCATCTGTTAATAGCAGTTTCTCAGATCTATGGACTGTTATATTCTATCAAATCCCTCTGGGTGTGCCTAATCCTCTGTTTACTGCAGCAATCCTCATCTTCCTAGGTACCATATTTAACACCATCTGTGAGTGGTGGCCTTTCTAGAATACTGCTCTTTCTCCAAGTTTCCTTGTATTTGCAACCTGTGAAATCCAAAGCCCTGATTTCCTCTTCAGACGCAGCTAGGATTTCACAGACTTCAGATAGCAGATTTTCATCTACCGCTATTGTTCCAATAACATAAAATGTCGATAGTTATCTGAACCAGTTATTTTATCATAATTCTATTTAACAATTTAAAATTAAAAAATGTACAATAGAAAAATATTCAATAGTTCACAAACATGAAAAAACATATTTTAACATGCAGCTACATCCAGTCTGTCCAGTTCATGTGGGCGATGATTGTCACTAGTTCCAAAAGCTATGTTTACTTTGCATGTTGCGTATTTGGCAGTGCTGTTGGAACCAGCTTTTCCTTTCTCAAAACACATGGAGAGATTTGAATTTCTCAGCTATATTCCAGTTGTAATATAAATCCTCTCTTCCTCCCTCTGAGAATGAGTAACATTTGTTTCTGATAGCTTCCAAGTAAGATTTTTTTTGTTCTGGCCCTATAATATACAGGGCAATATCCTGATGACTTCAGTTCTGATGAACATCTGCTATTTTCAGTTCTTCCTTTAGACAGATGTTCTTTTGTGTGCACAGGGGCTCTTACGAAATCTGATGGACAGTATTTATGATTGCCTCAAAACGGAGCAGTCCTTAATATAAGGAGTGTTGCTGATTGAAAAGAAACAAATGAAAGCCATGGCATCTGACACTTTGAAGATAACCTCGAGGTATAATTAAAGCCATTTCACTTCTTCATGTTGTAACTTATGGCATCTTTTGAATTGGTAGGTTGAGAGCCATTTGTGGAGAGCTGGTTTGCTGCTCCTTCCAATTCCGATTCACGTATAAAGATTACTGCATCTCCGCTGACGTTTATTAGGCACTGTGCCTGCAAAGACAGAAAGCGGGCATCCAGTTATATATCTTGTAGATTTTAAACAGAACCTTATTGTTTACACAGGAGTTTAAAATGTGCAAATAAATTCCTGCTACTGGACAAGGTCTTTGTACCTCTCTGCTGCCAGAAGCAGCCAAGTGCTGACAAAAAGTTTACAGATGAGCAGCTGCAGCAACGCTAGCAGAGAAGGAGCTTTCTGCAGATGGTTATAGCAGAGGCCAAAACTAGTAGTACTAGAGATTCAGAGGCTTCTGATCACACAGATGGTTTCTGTGTGAAATGGCCTGAGTAAATAATTCTTTCCCCTCCACCTACACCAGCCCATTTTGATAGGGCCCTCCCTAACAGCCCCAACAAATAAAGATTTGTTTTTCTCCAAGCTAAGGATGCTCAGCCTCACTTTTCATGTGTTTCCCTTTCAAATTCTCTGAAAGCTGATACAGCAGAAAGCTACAAATTGACAATTCGCCAACGTCCTTTTTGGAATGGTACACATTGTTCAAAAGGCCTTTGGAGCCCAGTGCAAATAATGCAGTTGTTCCTTTTTTATCAGGATTTAAGACTCCTGTCCTTAAAAAGTGGGAATATTATATATGTATTTTACCAAAACTGTGATGTTTCTTGGGAAATGCAGTCCTCCATTCCCTGTGCATCTATTGTGACTTCACACACAAAAGGAGCCAAATCATGCAGCTATGTTTATTAGACAAGAATTCCAGTAGCTACAAACAAATGAAAAGTCTAATGGCTCAATTTTAAGGCCTAGGGGCCATCACAAACCCTTTAGAGAAGGGGTGGGGGACCCTTTTGGACTTGTGAGCCAGACTGTCATCTGCCCCCACTCCCGACTGCCAACGTTTGACAGGTGAGTGGGATAACCCACCCGTCAATCGCTTGACATGGTGTGATTAACAGGTAGGTTGTTTTCTTAGCAGGAGTTCTTGACTGATTAGTCAGGAGAACCTTGCCTGGATGCCAGTACATTGCAAATGCTGTCAGGCTTCTCTAGTCCTTATCGTTTATGTGCAGACATACAGTGTTCTCTTCAAGCACCGTTTACCTGATTTTTGTTTGGATTCTCCATGAACACGCACTGCTTCATGATGTAAGAGACAACGGCATTTCCCCCGAGAGCTGCCACGTGAGCCCTTACCATTGCAAAGACCTCAGCAATGAATGCATGAAGAAAACCGCTTACACCGCCCTCCTATAAAAACACACCAACACACATTTTAGTGGCAAGGCACTAGTAAAACCATCCCCAGCACTTACTGTTCTTTAGTTTCAAATTTATTCTAAACAAGTGAAAACTAATCAACAGTTGTTCCAAAAGAGTTGTGTCATTTTTCTTAGTCTTCTAAAGCATCATTCAGAGTTAACACATACTTTGAGAACTACTACTTCAAACCTCCAAGTAAACAGTCTGATTTATCAGCAAAAAAGCAATGAAAAACCACAAATAGCATTCAAAACCATACAAGGAACAGATGGGACTGTGCGACAATTTGCTTAGGCTCCCAAAACGTTTGCTGTTATTGTTGCCTTATAATAGCATATCTGCATATTTTTCAAATTATCTAGCAGAGCTATACTGTGGATCTTTTCTGCAAACACACAATCAAGAGCTGGGTTAATCTGCTAAAAAGAGCACAAAATTCAACTGTGCATTGGATTTTACTTATAGTGAAGGTATATGGAGATATGATAATCTGGAATCTGCTCAAGCAAGACTTATGCCCTTTATTTTTCTGTTAATTCTGAACCGCTGCATCTCTTGCACCCAGCATAACTAAAACCCAAGAGCAGCCATGTTAGCCATGAGAGAAAGGCAAACTCCAGTGCAGCTTACCTCACGCAAAGAAGTGGTTTCTCGTATAAAAAACATGTTGATTATTCCAAGGTATTTGGTTATTTTTGCCCCAGCGATGAAAGAAAGAGGTGTCATCTTAACAACTGGCACAGTGGAACTCATGCCGGATGCGCCAGAACGACGGGACTGTCCTTCTGTCAATGGACTTGGCTTGTCGAATGAAATGGCTACAAGTGGCAGAAGGGAGGAAGGAAAGAAGGAAGACAGACAGAGAATAACTACTCAATATATGGATAGTTGCATCGGTAGCTCCAACAGATTAAGCCTTCTTCATGGTTTCCACATAGCTTGGTGACAACATTCAGCTGCCCGTGATGCTCAGCCATAGAAAAGAAATAACCATGCAGCACATGCAAACGAGAGACAAAAAGCTTGAATGGGATTTAATTTTGGAAGAAGAGTAGCATTCCTGCAAAAGAAAACACTGAGGCCAGCAGCTGCACATACAAATGATCAGTTATAAAGTGAAGACACAGGTAGTGCGGAGGGAGGGAGGGAGTGGTTGGGAAAGGTATCACGATTTGGTAAAAATTTCTGCTAGAGGGAACGACAAAAAGTCTACAGGAAAGAGTGTGAAAGTTGACACGTTTCTCCAGTCCAGCATTTTTCAAATTTTGGACAAATTCTTCATTGCTGTCAGCTTCCAGGTAAATCTTCATCTTGAGTAACTAAAGCAAAAGTCATACCTGCAGCCATTGAACTACTTAAACAAAAATTAAAAACTCACCACTTTGTAATTCAGTGATTGCTGCCACAAATATCATGCAGGTGATCCTTGCATAGCCTGAAGAATTTCACTGATGTATACATACACTTTCTGCCACACGGTATGTATACCTTTTAGTTGTACAATTCACAAGCCTATTTATCACCTATATATTTACTGGCAGTTTACTTTTGGAGCACAGAACAATGCGCTCCAAAATCAACCTGGCATTAATGTTTTCAAAAACAGACGCTGTGTGTCTGCAGCTTTCACACTCGGACACTGATTTTGCAATGCCACTACTGGGTAGGAAGCTCCACCGTTTGCCACTGAAAGATCAGAACTACGCTTCCAATGATCAGAATGTGGTAGAAATGACCGCCTACTTGTCTTAATTGATCCACGCCTTATGGTCTGAGCTTTCAGTTTAATGAATTCTATCCAGCTGTTGCATCTGTCTGCAAAGGAACTGTAATCAACTGATGTTGCTGGAAACACAGACAGAAAAACAAAAGGAAAAACAAAGGAAAAAAATATGGGTGATGCCCCTTTGCCCATTGCAGTGCTCCTTCTGATGAATCAATTATCTGCATCCAAGAATAAGTGGTTTTCCAAGAAAACACAGTGCTTGCCTCTGCTTGGACATTACTGGTAGGACATGATTCACCTACGTGGTATGAACATCTAGAAATATCATCCCTACGAAAATGCATACATATCTTGTTTTATGCAGTTCTGCAGCAATGAATTCAAAAGAGTACCAGCTGCTCTAAGACTGCCTTGCAGTTTTCTGTAACAGTGCTTTCAGAGTGCTTGACGGTGCTTCAAGAGACGCCCTTTTGGCAACTCTGATGATTCTGTGAATTATGTCCAACATTTCTGAAAGTTACAGTGCTTGGGATCACTGTGGAGGCTTCTACAAGGCAGCACAAATTGAGCCTTCTGCTGTATGACGATCAGCAGGAAGACACTGCACAAGTACCTTCCACTTCCCAGATACACCAATTTCAGGCACTGGTCCAGAGCAGAGAGTAGACAGGTCCCACACAAACTGCCTATGGGAGTCTGCAGGGCCACCAGCAGGGACCGCAAGGAAGCAGAGATCACATGAACAGATTCACACAGTTGCCGCAATTTGCAAGAACGAATTGATCTGGAGGATCACTGTGACTGTACAAATCATGGCACCAGTGTACATGGTCCCCACAAGCTGTTTCGTGCAGCTCTCTCTTCAATGTGATCCCTGCCGGGTGAGTGCTTGCTGGCTGCAGTTTGAATGGGATCAGCTGACTGTCTGAACCAGTGTGAAGTGCTCAGTGTTGTGATATGTTTAGTTAATGAATACATCATGAAATGATCTGTACTGGACAGGTGTAAGTGGTGTGAAATACCCAGGTAACCTGATGTTGTGAATTCAGGTGCAAACAGTAGTCAAATGGGACAGAGTCATTCAGCTCTGAGCACATATTTTTAAATATAAAGGATATTTTCACTATAATAAACAAAATAACTGGCACAGGGCTACATGAATGAGGGAACTCCCATATAATGTCCTTAGGATCTCACACCTCACCCTCGACAGTATCCATACCAGACAAATCTTTTAAACAAATAAATGAAAAGTATTTGCACCCTTTTGGCAACAAGTTTGATGTTTTGAATCCAACACCTGGGGTGCCTTGCATGGCCACTCAAACTCTTAAACTCAAGCTTATGAGCTTCCCGGACAAGCTCACTAGATCAAAAGTTCAGCAATTGTTTTCAGCTTTAATTTAAAAATCACATAACTCCTCCTGATAAGCAGGAAATAAAGATTAAAATATACTCCACGTAAGCCCCTGTTTGTGCTATTGAAACACCTCTTCCTTTTCAAGATTGTTACCCTCGCAGTGAAAATTGAAGGTTTGGTGTGTGTCTCCCCCCCCCCCCAAAGATTACTGAGTATTCCTAGGCAGGCACCAAGACTGGTATCAAGAATTCCACAGCAGCATGCATTGTTTATGTATTAACTGATCTTTAGTTCCATCCCCTTCCAGTACTCCGTAAAAAAACAACAACTGAGGAATTCAATATAACATTAAAGGAAGATGAAGAACTGATCAACCAGTTATTACGAAAATTGTTCTGGAAGACAAAGCGACAATGTAAGACTACCCGTCACTTCTAATTCTAGCTATCCCTAATGTATATAAAAATACTTTGATGAGCATATTCAGATATCAATAAGCCACATCAGAGCGTGCTTTCCAAGGCAACTGGTACATACTTCCTGAATGCTTGAAGCCACATCCCAAGTGTACCCCCAACAGAGCCAGGAATGCATCCCCTGTTCTGGCTTATAGCTAAATCAAGGAAACTCACCTCTTTGGACAGCTGTGTGGGAACTTGCATTCTCCAGGTCCTCTAATAAGACAAAATGAATTCCACTGATATGACATAAGAAACATTAACTATATTAATACAGATTTTTATTTCATGTCAATTTTTAAGTGAGTAATCTGCTAGAGAAATCCCTGTGTTGTGTTTTCTGGTTTTATTTCACACAACATTAACTTTGCACAACCTATTGTTCACAACAGAATACAGTAAACTTTGTACTACATTCAAGAGGGACTGGTTTTTCTTGGCAAAGCGTCTTTGGATATCACCTTAAAAAGATTCTCTTCTAGTTCTATGGCCTTCCATACTTAGAAGGCTCTCTGTTTAAAAATAGCAAGGGATTGCAAATCTGAACTGCAACTACTAAAAAAAGAAGCATGTACTCTGCGAATTTACTACATTTACTGCCTATGCTCCATAGAACCTAAATGTATAGAATGGCTATGAAAGAATAAGGGTTAATGCTTAACCTAACATGGAGGATTAACATTGATGGAATAGGCAGCTAAACTGAAAAAGCAGAGGGAGCAAGGATTGATAATCACAGAATAGAAACAGAAGAAACGATAGAATGATGCACTTATGCATTTAAGTTATAAAAGCAGAGACTAAGTTCTAAAAATCTTGGAAAGAACGAAGTCTAAATATCTGACTTAGCCATTTTGCTCCCCTGCAGAACCCAAGACTGAGCCCAACAGAAGAAAGAAAGAAAGAAAGAAAGAAAGAGAAGGGAAAATCTTTGTTGCAACTACAGTATGTAAAATTGACCCCACTAATTGGTGGGGAAATTTTAACAGCTAGTACAGGTTTGTGACACAGATTAAATTTATAAGGTGTGTAACCTTTTAAAAATTGTACATGATAAATATTAAAATTTGTGGGACAGTTTCTCTCACAAAATTTTTGTCAGCGAAAGATCACAAGGAATGCTTTTTACCTCTCAGAACTTAAAGCGGAAGCTGAGCATGCAGAACTCTTCTCTTTCTAAGGATCCCAAATGTTGGGAACCAAATTACCTCTGTGAACTCTACCATAAGTGCATGGTATAATTACAGAACCGAAGCGTTAATATATAACCACAAATGCAAGGCTGCTGATAATCCCTGGACTTTTGTGAGCAGAGTCTGGGATTCCTAAAAAACTATCTATTTCTGTTTCTCTATATCTATACTGTATCTGCCTTTCTTCGTGGGGTAAGGGACTTTTATGTCCTGCACTGCTACCTAATGCTCCCCCTTCATAGCTTCTATGCTTCTCTTCTTCCCGTATGAATCTTCCTATTACTGAATACTGACTCTGCTATAACTCTCCACTTTCCACTAAAAGTGCCACTCCAAGCAGGGTGCCCAATTCTAAGCCCTCATCACCACCACCATTGTTTCATACCCTGCAGTTTCATCACATGGCTCAAATCTGCTGAACTGTTTCTTTCCTATGCATTTCCTCTTCTCTTTCAAACATGATCTTTATTGTTCATTTCTATTTTGTCCTCAGTCAGGTCCCCCCCTGCCCTTTGATTGAGTCTGGTTTTTAGAAGCCTAGCATGGGGTTGTACTCATTTTTAGCCAAGTAATTTATTACTCAAGCTCTTCTGTAAGAACTGCAGGCTAACAATAGAACATTAAAAAAAGCCTATCTCAACTGTTTCTAGCAATGGAGGCATGTGCCCTGACTGGCATGTATCCAATTATCTTTTGCATTGTTATCATTTCTATACCACATTCTTTCTTCTTCTGAGTCCAATAGACCAAAAATTAGTTATGTCTTGTTCAAATGAAATAAATTATAATCCAGGAAGCTTGTGTTTACCTTCATAATATTTAAGAGAGCTCATCATTATTATTTTCAGATGAGCTCTCTTATTTTCAGAACTTTTCACCAGGGTGCTGACATCTGTTCACAGGGCAACAAGATTGACAGGAATCCAAAAGGTGACTACATATGAACTCCCTGGCTAAACCCATGATCTGCCACATATTCATCCCACACAAACTAAGCCATAATTGTATAGACTACAGCGCCCTAGAAGCATGAAACAGGAATGACCAAGGTACACAAGAAAGAACTGAAATTTTGTTAATGGTCCCCAGGTAAGCATGCAAAGAAGAAACTGGAAAATTGCCAAAGAAGTATATGTTTGTAATAAAAGAACAATCAGCCGCAAGTCTGAACCTCACAAAACTTCTGGAACTTACTCACTGACATATCATATGCTGACATCTGTTCTAGCATGAAAAAAGCCACAAGTTTCTCTCATCAGATTTCTAAACACTGTATAAAGGCTTCCACTAAGCAAAATCAGACTGAAGACAGATGGCAAGTTTTGTTTTTGTGTGTTGCTGTTTGTTAGTTCTTTAGTGCCATGATTGTCTCTGATCAAGCAAGTTTTGCAGGTTTGTGGTTTGCCATGGCTGACTGTGGGGGAATCATACACATAGCACAGGCAACCATGGCTGTAATAAACTATTTTCAGCACATACATGCACACCCAAATGAAAGGATGTCTCCAGCCCCAGACTATCAGCCTTATTCTGCTCTCCAAGGTGCTGATTTTGCAAAGAGCACCATAAAAGCAAACCTCAATGCAAAAACGGAGGCAACAACCCCCAGAACGAGGGCTTCATATAGGTTACAGACATTAAGCTACATGAATATTTCATCCAAGTCATTTCATATGATTGTATACAGTTCTCTACTGAGAAACTTTTATATTCACTCTGAATAAAAAAAATGCTCCCTAGTCATTATGTAAGCAGCATTTTAAAATATCTCTTTGTATTTTATGTATATTCTTGTCATTGGGTGCTGGCTATCTAACAAGCTTTTCCAGGTGTTCAAATGCTGCTCTGCTAAAGAAAATCTGGTTTGATTACTATAGGATCAATGCAACACAATCTGTTACTACAGTTAAAATCAAGTGTCAGTGAACCAATTTTTGCCTGAGAGCCACATCCCCCCTTGGCCAACCACCTGGAGGGCTCAAACCACCAGTTGGTGCAGCTAGGCACCTTGTGGCAACCTCTCCCTATGTTCATTTATGGAGCATCAGCTGCCTTGAGGCAGTGGATCCCAATAAAGCCAGCCTCCCTCATCCCTCGCTTTTCCCAACAGTAAAGGAGACAAAAGACATTAGAAACCACTGCTGTGAGCAGTTGCTGAAGAGGGAGGTAGGCAGGATATTACAAGCAGCAGAGACAAATGGTTTCCCAATCTCCTCTGATGCTTTCAAAGAGCTGCCCACCTTCTCCTTTGCCTATGCTGAAAGCAGCTGTTGCCAGAGGCAGTGCTCTGACTGTCACTTTTAGACAGTCATAGACAAGTTGGCAGGCTGGTGGATTGAATCTGACCCGTGGGCCACTGGTTACCTCACCATGGTTGAAGTAATATCTACAAATCAATGTAAATCATGTCAGTTCTTTATGGAAGAACATGGTTTAACTGCACTATTTCACTAACTTAATCTGCACTTCTGTCAACCATAAAAAGGTTATGTTTCAGTCCAGGCTGGAGAATCTTAAGCCAGGAGAATAAATTTCCCCTGTTTTGCATGTGTGCCCTTGGCAACTCTTTATTAGTGCAGCTATACACTAGACCAGCACCATCAACATGGGTTATGTCAACTAGGGCTCATTTTATCCACATGACAGCAGCAAAGCAAAGACTGACACTAAGGGAGCTATAACCAATCCTTGCTGTCTGATGATTGTGCACATATGATGGATGTGCTTGTAAACACAAAATTTGTCATATAAACACTTTGTATTTTTAAGGATACATTTAAAATTGTGTATGAAACAGTGCTAGGTGTGGGGCTTTGAAGAAAGCTAGGAAATACCCTAGGACAAAAATGTGATGGGGAGGGGCCATACTAAACACACATCAGGTGTTATTGGACTATAGATTTCCTAGACAGACATGCCTACTTAGCTAGTGTCAACGCACCACAGAAATACTTGCTGCCCGCATGCAACTCTAGAGAAAAGTCATGTGTGTATCTGTGTGAAAAATCAAGGTGAAAAAAGAATTTTCTGTTGTCCCAGTTTTTGCTTCCTGGGGTGGGGTTTTTTCCCCTTGTAATGTGCAACAATAAGAATGCAACAATATGAATAAAGGAATGTCTGCACTTTTATGAAGCTGCATATGTGTTGCCTGTGTGTATGTGTACACATAAAGACTACATGCCTGCAGTTGTGAATCAATCTCACTTGCCAGATTAATTGGGAGTGCAATGCTTCCTGCTTTCCGAAAAGTGGTAACAAATTCAGGCTGAAGCCTTCATGAATCCACAATGTACATAGTGCAACTTCAACAGCATTACTCAGGTTAAGGTCTCTCTGTTTTAGAGATACAGGGCCTGTTCACATGCTACTTTTCCCCAAGAATATAGCAGAAATGTGTAACAGGGCTTATGCACACTAGCCTTCTTCCCTTCATACTTTACTACATGCAGAACATAATGCTTTAACTAGGCGACAACATGCTTATTTGTATGCAGAAGCTCCCTGATCCTTTTGTAATGATGCAAGTTTGTCTCAAAGCTGCTGGGAGAAAGCAGGGAGGGCAGCAGGCTGTTAGTCAAAACGCAGGAAAAAAACAGGACCTAAGTATTATGGTAACACAAAACAATATTCCAAGACCTTATGGAAGGCAGGCAGGCAATTGTCCAAGCTGTGTTTTCGTTATAGAAATTTAAAAAACAGAACCTGATCAGGCAGGAATTTTATTTGTAAGCTGAATATACCCCTTTAGCACCATTACATTAACACTGCACTCTGTGGGGGTTTAGTGAGAACGTAATAAATGTTTGCTTTGTTGATCTATTATTTTGCCTGAAGTGCAAATGAACTTAATAATTAAGTTCTCACAGGAGTTCAAGTAAATTATGAATCATATATCAACTACAGATCTTTCCAAAAGAAAGAATTCTCTTTAGAGAATGGGAGGCGTTGATACGAACCTTGATGATCTCACATAAATGCTTGCTGCGTTTCACAGACCATCCATGGTTAATGTTAAACACACTGTTTGCTGACAAGGGAGTAGACTACCCTCTACTGGCCAGCAGTTATTTTACAAATAGGGTCTCCTACTAATCTTTGGAAAAGAATAAGCCAAATAAGTTAACAACAGTGAAACCCTGCAAGAAGGCTAAGTTTACACAATGAAAGACATGGAATTCCAGAAGATTCTGATTTGTAGAAAGAAGAGGAGGGTGGTTTGGTAAACAGAAACTCAGCAACAGGATAGATTTGTCGAAGTATTTGTGTGGTCAATAGTGCGTTGCTCCAGAAGCTTCCTTGAGACACTAACTGTGTAATTACCTCACTTGGCAATGACCTAGCATAATCTGTTAAAACTGACTTTAGGGATAAGAGTTTCCAGAGGATAGCCATGTTAATCAGTTGCACAGGAGCACTGTTAGGTACTTCAAAGACTTGGGGCACAGGCTTATGACACAAATTTGCAATGTATGTACATGCAAATATAGGCTCACATTCCAAGGGGCAGGAAGCAAAGTTTACCTGTCAGGGCTTATTCTGAGCTATGGGCTGCTTATATACATATTAAAATTATAACAAGAGTCTCTGGGAAATTTAGGATGGTGGTTGGCTGTGGTCTCCTGGGCATTGCACTTTGGAAGACTCCGGGCATCTTGTGGGATTCGGGTCTCTGGGACACTCCCTAATTACACTTCTGATGTTGTAGTAAAAACAAAATGAGTCTTGTTTCATAAAGCATAGCGACCATTCACAAGAGCAGAAATTGGTGGTCACATATCCTATATACCCTGCATTAATGAACTGTGGTAGAACAGATCTAGTCAAGTCCAGATGGAGAAAATTATTTTGTTGCCTTATACCAAAAAAAGTTATCAAAGCAAGCTACAACAATAAAATCCATACAACTATAATTCATAACAAATACAGTATTTAAAATCTGTAACAGACTAAATGTTATTATCCACAATAATTAATAAGCAAAAATACATTTTCTTCACTTAAAATTAACTGATTAAGTTCTCATTCAGCACTTTCCTGCTGGAGCCTCCCTTTGAAGTTCATTTGTTGAACCTTTCAACAGGATGGAACCTCATATATCCAACAAAGTAGGCTCTTGCCACAAACACCTACACCATGATAAAACTGTTCATCTTTTAATGTATCACAAGACTCTTTGTTGATTCGGGCTGCAATTCAAATGCCCACTTACCTTGAAGTAAGCCCACTGAAATTACTGGGACTTGCTTCACTGCAGACATGTATAGCGTTATACTTTTGACCTCCTTGCAGATGTGCTGTGTTGACTTGAGTAGCAAAACACTTTCACAAGAGACGGCATTTCAAATTAGCTTTCCAATGTAATGCTAATATCTCTTTTTTCTAGGTAGGTACCTGTTTAGACCTCATCAGTCTAATGCAAAATTTGGAATATTTATTCCAGCGAGCATTACTTTGCACTTACTTATGCCAAATCACATACTCCCTAGTTTGGATTAATTATTTTGTGGCTCCCTGCTGTGAAGTCTACAACCTCTGTATTAGGATAAAGATTTAGGACAGGCTTCCTCAAACTCGGCCCTCCAGATGTTTTGAGACTACAATTCCCATCATCCCTGACCACTGGTCCTGCTAGCTAGGGATCAGGGGAGTTGTAGGCCAAAAACATCTGGAGGGATGAGTTTGAAGAAGCCTGATTTAGGATGAGGGTGGTGGAACATTTCCTTTCCTTTGGAAAATACCTGGCACGGCGCATTGTTAGTTATATCTGCCTCTCCAAGAGAAATAATCTATAATATTTACAATCCTTAAATTTCCAAAAAGACTTGATTCAGACTCAGCAAAACCCATCTCTTCAGAGCACATTTTGTAGTTAGATGAACCACCTCATACTTTTCCGAAATGCAGCTGTCTCTAGACTAGAATGGCTGTTTGGCAGCAGCTCAAAGCAGCATTAGAAGAGCAGTAAAAGAAGCGCAAGTTGTTCCTGTTCATTTGCTCCCTCTTCAGCAGCAGCCACCCTGTTCTTAAAAAGAGACTGCACAGCGGACATATTAAGAACATTTTGTTTCGCTCTCCTCACATATCCGGAGGATGAAGTCTTTTTGGCAAACAAAAAACTTGCATTGCGTAGCAGGGCTACTTCTACGGTTGACAAACAAAAAAGGAGCAAGTGGATGGAACACAAGAAGATAAGCAAATGGCCTTTTTCTTTAACCAACCTTTTGCTGGCGAGAATTGCTGGGGAGCATGAGGATCAGAAGAAAGCTCCATGGGAAACTGTAGCTGTTCTTCATTGTCTGTAGAAGCTGGCAACAAAAACAAAAACAGAAGAAGAAAGGCACAAAAACGTTAATTTATTTCTTCTTTACAAAATTCACATATACCAACCTACACAAACAAAACAAAAAAACCCACAGGCTTGGTTGTATCCAATGAAATTGTCCCTTTAGTGCAAGGACTTCTGCCTGCACAATGGGACTTCCTCTTCCTCTCTTCTGCTCCCCCAATCTATTCTGGATTTCCTCTGGGGAGAAAAGAAGATGACCTGCTGCACAGTCAGAAGTCATTGTTATAACAGGACAACTTCCTTAGCAATCCACTGTAGTGGAAAGCAAAGAGATGTTCACTAATAACTACAGTTCACTTAACTGATTAAGTAGTACCAGCAGCTTCTTTCTAAATATGCCCTGAAGACCTGTGCCCCTCTGGAAAAATCACCGGTTAAATTGAGATATCATGCCTTAAGGTTAGCCACAGGTATTGCTTCAGTTGATGTTAATTCTATTCCCCAGAGGCATGAACACAGGGCACTTTAATGCAGTTTACTCTCAGACTCACACCCTGTAAGCCACTGCACACACTACAATTAAATTAATCAATCTTAATCAAGGCATGGAATTAAATACATTAGAGTTTCAATCCACACCCAGCATCTGCATGCAGCATCACCATCCCAGTGTGTGTGTGAGCAGCATAAATGTATGCTTGTTTTGCTTGCTTGTGAAACATGCCACAGCCTGCAAGAAGTGGTTAAAAGCAAACCTGAGAATGATAAAAGCTGCTTGACCGTAATGATTGTAAAGATGAAATATGTTGCAGCAACATTAGGAAAGGGTGTCTAGGCTGCAGTGCTGCACCTAATGACACCCACTTAGGCCCAATTAAATGAATGGGCATCCTGAGATGGCAGTGACAATGAACAATTATAGCACCCATAACAGGCAAGAGCTGACAGTTTTAAGTTCCTCAATGTGTTTACCTCTTTGTAATGTTTTTTCTGCAGGAGTTTTAGCTGCTTGCAAAGCTTGGTGTTTGTCAAATGTTATTGCAACTGCTGTAACAGTGACCTGCAATTGTAAATATAATGTTGTCAGGTTTTTATTTCTTAGACTTTATTTCAAAGTTTAAAATTAACCCCATTTACACTTTGGGGAGATATACAGACACACATTGTGCAAACCTTCTCTCTCACTTTGCTTTTTAACTTAACCATGGCATTTTTCTTAACTGGTGGTTAATGGAAATCTTCACTTGCTGATCTCAGCAGATGGCATGCTCAAGGGTGAAGGAGCCAACTGGGCTTGAAGAGGTGTTGGGAAGTGCACCTCCACTGGCCCTCAATGGGTGCCAGTCCAAGCTCATTTGACCGCCTGGGGGACAGAGACTTGCCATGAACCAGAACTTTGTGTCTGTGGACCACACCAAGTATTTAAATACTGGACATGCCATACAGAGACACATTTGTGTTGGAGGTGACTTCCCTGCTCACCCTCCCTCTGTCCCATACTCTTGCTATGGGCATCAGCTGTCACTAGTTACCCTCCACATGTTTAGCTGTTTGAGGGGGATTTTTTGCCTTCCTCATCAGTCAGGATGTTTTCTGGTGTTTTTATTGCCAGAACATCTGTTGGTGGGTGAAGGGCACTTGGAAGGAACAGCAGTCACGCAGGGGGTGGGGCGGTGGTTAAGGAATATTGGGGGCACCAATTAGGCCTTGGCCCCAGCTTAGAGGCAGGGCTGCCCATCACCCATCCAGGTTCTTGGATGAGGCCTTCCTGAAAACGGCCCACATCAGGATGAGCATTCCACAGCTGGTGGGGCTGGGGAGAGAAATACTGGGCAGCAGGCAGGCTGTCCAATTAGGTGATATTTGCCTTATGGTTTGCCAATCCTGGACTCTCATTTCAGGTGTAGTGGGTGCAAAACAGGTTTGAAAGCAAAAACTTTTAAGGAACATCATAACCTAATCACTATGGATTGGATCCAACCTAAGGTTGCACTTGATCTTGCCTTCTTTTTAGGGTTGGTGTGCACTGGACGGAGGTTTCCTCTACCAAGCCCTGCTAGTTTCCACCGATGGAGTGATGCCAGTGTCACTCCACTGGCAGGGAACTCTCTGTTCTGCATGAGAAACATGCAAGTGGGCAGAAGTGCCACAGGCAGGATTGCCAGCAGCCTGCAGAAAGCCCCCAAATGGGGGAGGGGCTGTGGCAGCCTGGAATCTGCTAGATCCAAAACTAGCACCATGGGACAGCATCGGGTCTGATCACTGCACTAGCCCCATGTCTCCCACCCCCAAAATCAACAGAACCTGATGGCAAGTATGACTGTAATAGTCTGAATCCAACTCAATGATCTTTCAATACAAACTATTCCATTGAGTGAGCCTATTTTGATACCTTGTCATTAGAAATAAAGATGCCTGGGACTGTGTAAAAGAAAAATGGTAGGCAAATAACTATCAAAGGCAATGGTACTTTGTATGTCTGATTTGAGATTTTATAAAACTTCTACTCTGCCTTCCTCGCAAGCTGGCCCAGGGCAGCAAACCACAAAACAGCACATTTTTTAAAAAAAATTACAAGCATTACAACCATCTGAAAAACCTTTTAAAATAGCAAAACAGTTTGTATGCAACAATGTAATCATAGTAAGGTTTTGTTTCTGTCAACATTCCTCACAACAACTTTGAAAGAAAGAAATTTAATTAAACATGATTTCACCATACTCTGGGGCATGCAAATAACTGAAAAGGTTAGAATGCAGTCAAACATCTCATTTAAACACAGCAATTGCTAAAATAGGCTCACAGCATGGCCACACATATTTTAAAAGGAAATGGCAATGAGCACTGCAATTACATGGAACCACATGAACATTTCTGTGGAGACACATTTAAATTATCAAAGTTATATACAATGCCCAGGGCCTTGCCGAAAACAGCCACACTCTTGAGAATGTGTGTCCTACAGCAACTGAGCAGTGAAAAGGAGCATTACAACTGTCATTCTCCAAAGTATCTTCATAAACTTTGTTTGCTAAGCAAGCCAAGCTTTTAAACTCAAAATTGTAAAACTAAATGGTTCGGAAGGAGCTTTCAGCATAACCTGTGTCTGACTTGACCAGCTTTACTTTTTCAAAGTCTGCTCCTGTCACAGATTAATGTGAAGAGCTTCAAATACAAAAAGGTGAATGGACTGGCTTACCTGAATTAATTCATCCTCTGGAAGAGCAACTGTAAAATTTACATGGCACAGACAGCAAGGAATCATAGATCGAAGTTTAAAATACAGGCTCTGTTGAACACAAGAAATTAGTATATATTATGTATCTAGTATGCTCTGAACTGGTGGAGGTCTGGGTTTCATTTCTTTGTAGCCCAATTCTAATTCCCTGCTTCAGCTACATCAGTGTGAGCAGATGCTGCCATCTACCTTTAAAGTGTGCGTGAATCATTTTGAGTATGCTGTTTTTGGCATACTTGGACCCTTGCCTGTAGTGGTTTGCAAAGATATGTTGGAAAGATTTATACATTTGGAGATATATATTGCAAATATGTATGGGGGGGCTCAGTTTCTTACAGTGGCATTAAAATGGCATTTAAGAATCATCTGATGACTTTGCTAATTACTGTATAGTTGCCAACCTTTGTCACTCCATGCTGAATGTGTGGCTTTTGGTCCAGAAATGCAAGAAATCTTCCATCTCTGCCACAGGTGTTGTGCTACTACTGGATTTTTATGTTGTCAGTGGTTTTCAGGAATGTAATTTTGGTGAAAAGCACCCTTCATGTTTTAAAGTAGAACAAGGAACACAGCCATAAATCCTTTCACCATGTCCACGGCTCCCAGAGATAGCTAATGAATACATTCACTGATACTTACTCTGGTGTCTTACCAAGAAAATAGATGCATTATCTTATGTGCCATTTAACACTTGTATATGATTTCCTGAGACCTAAAGTTGGAATGGACCAAGTAGCCATCTAGTACAACACTTTGCTACAAGGCTGTGCCCCCCACCCACTCGCCAGCATTGTCCCATTCAGTATTAGCTTATGCAATCCACTCCAGAGTTTGCCACAAGCAGAAAAGTAGGCACTGAGACATGCCAGAAAATTAATTCTAGGTACCACTGGCAAAAAAACTTAATAGTTCAAACGCATATATAGTTCCAGCAGCTATTCATTTACCTTGAGCAGATTCTCACAGAGATCATTAAAGGTCTTGTTGAGTGTTTGGTTTGTTAGGGTAACATTATTAAGTCTGGAGACTCTCACTGATGTGAACATCTAAAGCAGAAACAACAAATTGAATGAGTTGCCATTTAAATATAATTTTAATACAACCATATAAGTAATTAAGGTTGAGAGAGGTGATGAAGTTTGTTGTTGTTGTTGTTGAATGCCTCCACCTGAGGTGAAGTGGCTAGCAACCAAGGAGAAGAAGGCACATTTAGATGTGGTGCCTCAAAGGCTTGCAGGGCATGCAAACTATTTTATTTGGGGCACCAAATACTTTTCCTCCTCAAATTTTAAAAACAGCATTTCCTGCTTTGTATGGCTTTTCCCCCACTGCAATTTATGTTTTGATCTTATGTTGTATTATTATTATTATTATTATTATTATTATTATTATTAGCATCTTTGTAAAGTGCCCAGTAAACCTTTGTTGAAGAGAGATATTCAGGTCCATTCATTCATTTGTTAAGGTGGGTTTCATAGCAGTTCTCATGCTTCATCTTGAGCAGTTTGCAGAAGCCAAACAATCTCTTTAGCCATCCCCAACCTGTTGCCTTCCAGTTGCTGGTGAAGGCTGATAAGAGTTGTAGTTCAAAACATCTGGAGGGCAGCAGGATGAGGAAGGGGACTCTAGTGGAAGGTGTAAAAATGGCCCTTCTCTGAGTGGAAGGGCACCTTTAGATACAACCCATCGTGCCACCACTGGGCCATAATTTTTGATAAAGAACTGATGGTATGGAGGATCTTGCTCCTATAATTCTTTTACATGGATAATTATTCTTTAGACACAAATCATTATTTAGGTCTGAGATTATACATTTCACTATGAAAGAAAAGGCATTTAATTTTTATTTTTGCATGCTTTTTTCTTTACCTGTATATCAGAAGTCCAGTTATTTATACCAGGCATAATTTCTGTGTTGCAGCTATAAAATCCTGCCAAATCACATAAAAGGTATTATTTTTAATATCAGAGAACATTATTATGGTGCTGTGTAATATGATCAGCTTTCAGGTTTTGTGTAGTTTCACAGCTAGATTTTCAATTAGTGTAATATATCAGAAAAACACAATCCAGCAATATTCTGCACAAATATGTGTGCTAATCCTTAGAAAAAGTAAGAGTACAGAAAGTTTTTAAAATGCAGTGTCAGGGCTGGTTCAGCTGCAGGTCAGTACGGAGACTCAGAGCTGAACAGTAAAATTGATTCTTTATTCAAGGAAACAGAATACAAACAAGAAAATCCTACGTGAGACTGGCCCCACTGAAGAAGTTGCCAGAACTGATGATCTGGGCCTCCCACTTCCCCCTAAGTCTCCTCCCCATCCAGCTGTTTTCCCTGCAGTCTTAAACTCTGCTGGGGAGGGGGCCACTACAACCTCTGGGCTTGTCATTCTGCTACATGCAAAATTCTCCAAGTGCTTGGGGACAATGGGGGAGGTGAGCTGCATACAGTAGGACCAGCAGGCTCCTGTGAATCTGTTGCAGCCTCAGCCCCCACCTCCCCTACATCTGCCATTTTCTGCCTCTTCTTCCTCTCTCTCACTCAAGCCTGTTGCTTGTTCAGCATTCAACCATTCTGCCTCCACCCCTTCATCCTCTGACCTGTCTTCCGTGTGCCACCAACATTCCCTGGGTTTGGAGTCTTCCTCTTCTATGGCTTCATTAGAGGGTTTTCCAGCTGCAGCCTCCCACCATTCCTAATTGCCCAGCCAGTCCCGGACATCCCACTTGTGAAAGTGGCCAGGATTACATATTTTAAGCAACCATGCAGGAAAACAGTAAAAATATGATATGAGCCCGAGATCCCCAACTGGAGAAAGGCCATGATTCGGTGGCACAGGATTTGCTTTTTAAGCAGAGGCTTCTGTGATCAATCTCCAGGTAGGGCTATGGAGAACTCCTGCCTGAAATCCTGCTGCCAGTCAGTGTCAACCATACTGAGCTACATGGACCAACGGTCAAACTCAATATAAGGTGGTTTCTTTGAAAGTACTTGCAGTCAGATATTTTAAAAAAAACAACTGCAAAATCCAATCAGTTGTTCAGTCTAGGTGACTGAAGATAGATTGAATAAGAAGAGATAAATTTTTGATATTTTTCAACCTTCTAGTTCTCATAATTGTAGAGAAAATCATCAAAATACACTTTGTAAAGTATTCATGAGAAATAAATCCTACTAGCACTCTAAAGTGACTGACAAATTCCACCAGGGGGCACTCCTAGAGCCACAAATGCTCTTAAGTCCATTATGGAATGCAGCAAGAGAAATAGATCTATTCTAGCCTGTATATGAGAAACTGACTACCAAAAAATACTGGAAGGGTTTAAAGGAATAAAGACGATATTGGAAGGAGGACTACAAAATGATGTATCAAAAGTGTCAAGTGGCTAGTAGATTGTGGACAACTTGGAAGTTGAGAAATGAAAACAAATAGGCACTAAAATACAGTGGTGCCCCGCAAGACGAATGCCTCGCAAGACGGAAAACCCGCTAGACGAAAGGGTTTTCCATTTTTCAATGTGCTTCGCAGGACGAATTTCCCTATGGGCTTGCTTCGCAAGACAAAAATGTCTTGTGAGTCTTGAGATTTTTTTTTCGCTTCCCCCCCCCTTTTTCTAAGCCGCTAAGCCTTTAATAGCCTTTTAGCAGCTAAGCCGCTAAGCCGCTAAGCCTTTAATAGCCGCTAAACCGCTAATAGCGCTAATCCGCTAAGCCGCTAATAGGGTTGCTTCGCAAGACGAAAAAACCGCTAGACGAAGACACTCGCGGAACGGATTAATTTCGTCTTGCGAGGCACCATTGTATAACACTTATTATGGATGTTGTTGGTAGATTCACTAGCCCATGAAGTGTGATTGTGCATAATTTATTACTTATAGAATTTGTATTGAATATTTTGACATGACAGTCCTCAAAGCGGTTTATAAAGAGCCAATATAAAACTAAGTAACTAAAAGATAATATAAAGGCAATATCCAAAAGGTTTTCCACATATTTTGCATTTGTCTCTGCTATTCTCAAGGGCTGTGAAGTGGTGGGAAGGACAGAATCTTGCTATTATACAGCTGAGATGCACTGCAGAAAATCATGAAACTGATAAGTTAATGGAAGAACACAGCATTTCAGCACACTGAGCGCCCCACCCACTGTACCCTTTTTAGTTGTTTGACTTTGAAACCTTTTCTGTCCACTGACCTAAAAGACAGTTCACGGACAGCAGTTTATTCAAGTACAAGTTAGCGGCATCTGTTATTGGACCTGCAGGGCCTCAGACAGTGCAAAGTACAAGTGTGTTTTCAAATTCTGGAGGTTAAGCAGTTTCAAGAGATAAGAGAGTGGGGTGGGGAAATGACCATGACTGTGGAAGAACGTCAGAAAAGCCCAAATGGATCGCATCAAATATCCATCAACTGTAGGAAGTATCCTTTACCAACATCAGTCAATCAAATGCCTCTGGGAAGCCCACAAAAGCATAATATCGGCCTCCCATTGTTGCTCCCCGCCAACTAGTACTGAGACCCTAGCTTAGTGAGCTATCTCATACTGTCTATACACAACCACTGGGCAGAGATGAGAATGGGGTAATCTACATTGACTCCTAGGACTGGCAAGCAGCATGGATCCCTTAGACAGGCCATGTAGAAAATACTGTTCCACTGACCAGGCCAAGAGGAGGAAAGCAAGATCATAGTAGTATTAAATAAGAGGAGCCTGGCCTTCTAGTTTTGTCAGCAAGGTTTCTGCATTCTAAACCTCAGGGTCAAACTCAGGCACTCCCAGTTCCAGCAACAGAACTAAAGGACCCTCCACTGGAGAAAGCACAGTCCAGCTCTGGGTGCAAGTAGGGGTGTCCCAATCTCAGGCTAGTCAGCACTGTTTGTAATGGTATGCAAGACCACTCTATGATTTACTGTGGGCCATATCCACACACACCGACTTTTTGTGACCAAGACCACCCCCAAAGCATAGCGTTTTTAAATTTAAAAAAATTGGTCCCCCATGCAAAAAGGTTTTTTATTACCCGCAAGACATGTCCATTCCCCTGCACTTCATTTTTTATTGACTGCTCCCATGGATCCCTTTCTGTGACACTATAATGCCAAAGGGTTTTTGTGAGGCCCTGAAAGACTGCCTCAGAACTTGTCCTTTTAAACAAATGCAATTTTATGAACTATAATGAATGATTTAAAATAGTGTAAAACAGCTGCTGGGAATGCCTTTTGGAAAGCAAGCCTTGAGAACTGCAGCTATTACCACAGCCACTTTTACATGCAGCCCCAGAGTTCACCAGGGGTCAGCGTGGCCCTCGGCCTGAAAAGGATTAGCCACCTGTGAACAAGAATATATACAATTTCTATGAACACAACAGATTTATTAATCAATTGCTCAACAATAATAGGATGGATTCTTAACCAGCAGAACCTTGAATCAATGCTAGGATCCCCTTAATCTGAGCATGTTTAATCACCCTTCAGCAGGTAATATGAAGGCTTTCACCCTTGGAAAACGTCAAGGTTTCTAATTTGTGGTGCCAGCACAAAAAAAGGAAAGTCATCTCTTTTATTTTATAAATCTTAAAAAGTTGTAAGGCGAGTAAAGCGAGCTAATTCAGGGACCAATCACATAAAGAAAAGATTGGTCACATTAGTAGCATTTGGAGAACAGACCTTCAGGGTCACGCTGCAAAGCATGTCAGAAAAGAGTCAACCCTCAATTTGTTCTAATCTGACTCTGTGGACATGTGAAGCTCATCAGGGCACAGCCATTATAAGCAACCCGATATTGAAGGAACAAACCTACACAACGGCTACTGAAATGCACACAGCTTATTGGTAGATTGTATTGCAGCACCGACCAATCCTTCAACAACTTAGTCGAAAACACAATCATAGAGTCGGGCAGGACTCAAGCACTTCTTTGAGGATTGTGCAAGTTTGGTCTTTCAGCCTTTATCTCAGCCAGTGCCAGAAGAGATAGCATTAGAGAGATACTGTAAATGAATCCACCCTGTTTTAGACAAATATTTAACAAGTATCCAAGGTTATCAATCCTGTGGAGTTAGATGAGGAAAACAGGCTTAAAACCAATATTGAAGTATTAATTCAGAGCATCAAACTAGCATTCTGCGTTAGGAGACGCCAAAGCAGGATGGAGAAGCACCGGAATGGAATCTGGTTTTCTGTCTGTGGGTTGACAGTATATATATGAATGCAGCCATCATCTCTCAACCTCAGAAACTTCTCTAATATGGGGGGGGGGGGTAATAATTCTGACCTACATTATAAATTCACTGTAAATCTTACTGAGATAATATCCTCTTCAGAGGGTATTATATTATTGATCTAAAGTCCAGGCTAACAAAAGTGATTCAGATATATAGCATTAAATGTCTCACACAGTTTCAGTTCACTTTATGCAAGTAACAGTTCAATCCAAAAGTAAAGGTTCCCCACCCACCTTTGGATGGAACATGTCCAATATACCTGATTACATGGTTCTTCATCAAATGAAGAGAATCGGCAGTTTATTGTTGGAGAGAACTGTCTAAAGTCAACAAAATTAGAAACCAATGTTTACCATACCTGAAGGTGGAGGGACATCTGTTAATAAAGAGTGAACATCTTCCATTGCATCTGTATCATCAATCTGAAAAAAGACAGTATATAAATTATGTTGCACTCTGAAATTGGATTTATCAAGATTAATACAGTATATACTGTATGACATATACATATACATATACATATAGCCAAGGCTTTTTTGCTCCTAAAAACATGTTTGGTAACTTCAGTTAGGCTTAAAATCACCATCAGGACTAGGTTTGCCCCTGGACAAATTGAGCTGGAATTTAAATGTAACATGCTCAAGAGAAAGTGTGTTTATGAACACAGCTAAAATCATTTCAACTGGTATTTTCGCTCTTCAAGACAATTTGGGACTATTTTTAGATGCTCATGATTATAAAACAACTGTCCATATTTTTTTAAAAAAAGATGTATTTATTTCATAAAGAATAGCTGTGCCAACTTTATAAAATATTTATTTCCTGATCTGTAGTGGCACAAGCTGTAGATTGGGCTGTGAGAGCGAAGGGATGCAAGCAAACAAATCTGCTAAACCAGCCCCTTCTTCAATTTTACCACTGTCACCATATGGATACAATTTTCCCCTGGCTGCCTCCACTAAACACTTCCCATATCTCTCTCCAACTTTTCTTAACTGGTGCAGTCAAATCGCCACATTGGACAGAGTGGTAAGGGAAGAGGTGAATAAGAAGGCACAGACACAAACCCCAAACAAACTTAGTTTTTAACTTAAGATTTTTGTGTGAGGTAACGAATTCAGAGTTTTTAAAGATGGTCTAGAAAAACATTTGTTTAAAAATAAACATTTGTTTAAAAACTATTTAAAAATAGTTTTGACTAGCTATCCATAAAAGCAAAATACAAATAAGAGAGGAAAAGGCATCCCCTCCCAACTTTTTGGACCACCAGACAGTAGATGACTGCTCTTTCAGTTTTCACTTCCCGAAACCTGTTAGGTTCAATTTTCCCCTTAGCTACTAAGTTCCTTAGCTGAATCTCTGACCTTGGTCAGAAAGCAGATGCAACAATTTCACCAACCAACCAAAATACAAAATTCTGAACAGCTATATTCCTTCAATGTCACAAATAAAGCAATACTTTGGTTAATAATTATCAAAGCAATCTTATCTAGAAATGAAAAAACAGAAGAGCTCAATGAATGCTGAGAACAACAAACAACTTATACATTTAGGTCTTCACTGATCAAACAGGAGCTAAAAAATATTTGTTGTAGGCCACTAACCCCTTTCTAGTCTATTTTGGCTGATAGAGCATATCTGATAATTTGGATAGTTAAACTATAAGTTTGTCACTAAGAATTTTAGGATTGCCTCTCCTAGGGTTGTTATGTTACCATAAAAATTTTTGAATTCCTGCAACTTCTTATTATAGAAAATCAGGTGTGTAAGGCAAACAATCTTATACTTTATGACAGTGGACAACCCCAACCCTCCCCAAGGATTATACTTCATGAAGTAGAATCTAGTTCACAGAAGCTTGCACCACAATAGATGTGTTAGTGTTTAACAAGAAATTATTCTTTAATTAGCAACTTTGATATTTTTATACCCTTTAAGTTCTTCAGAAGGCATGTAGAAGTCTAAACTTTACAGAACATACCTCCAAGACGAAAGCATCTTTTTTTCCATGTGACAGGTCCAATTCTGTAATTTCATCAGAACTTTCAGACTGTGATCTTAGTACCCTAGTACGCCTTGGTTCTGGAATGGGCGAACCTATAATTTCTTCAGGTGCCTCCTAAGCAGAACAATGGTATGAAAACATGTATGCATCCCTTATTTTATTAAATCTCGCTTATTTTAAATGCCATGCCACTATACCCTTCCTCCAAAACAAAGGCAAAAAGTACAGGCACTGCCCCTTATCATCAGGGCCAAATTCAACACCTTGAAAGGTGCAATCTGAAGAAGTGTTGAACAGCATGGATCAGGTCCCAATTCATGCAACGCAGAACTTCTTCAAAGTGCACCTTTCTATTGCTGGTGCTTCCTCCCTTCCTTGCTTGGCAGTGGATGAAGGGGTGCATGATTTCTGCAGTCTAAAAAAAAAGCACAGAGGCAGCATCCCCTAAAGCAGAAATACTGCAGTTCAAGAGCTGAGGAAGCAATAAAGTGTTTGGCTGTTTAACTGTTCCTGTCCGAAGTACCCAACTGAGAACCTAATGCATCAGCATCTTCTTAGTCTAAAGAATCCACCTACAACTTAGGCTTTCTCTATGAAATGAAGGGACATTGGGGCTCTGCAGTTTAAAAAGTTATGTACAGAACTGAGCACACTGCGGGTTCCTGAGGGTAAGCCAAGGCAGGAAATGAGGAAACCAAGCCTAGACCTACGTTGTGTAGCAGGGTTCTTTGGTCTTTTGGCCTTCCTCCTTTACAGAAGCCACCAATTTAGGCTTGAGATACATCAGGGGGTGAAGGGGCGCGAGGAGGAATGGCTCAGTTGTTCTTGCAAACCTCTTTGTATATATGCATTATATTAATAAAAAGAAACCTCCCTCCCCCCAAATTACAGACTCCCCCACTTGTGCACACAGCTACCTTCTAAGTAAGTTTCTTTGCTCGTGTGTACAATCCATTCTGCATTAGCTAACAGGATATAGATTAGGTATGAACTGTGTATGACTCAGAATTGTTTGAACGGTTCCATAACCTTGCTTACTGGAGGGTTAATCTCATAAAGCTCCTTATTTTTGGCTATTGTATCATTTATCTTCTTCTGCATGTGCGATATATGTTGTTCGTAAGTGGCGTCATTCGGCGTCTTCCCAGCAATTTGAATCCCACCAGGAGATGGTAAAGCAGTCAGGTATACACCCGTGGCAGACTTTAAAGAATAAGACAAAAAAAAAATGAAGTGCAATATATATTCATGCTTTTTTTAATAAATGCTTTATAAGCATGCATTTCACACTATTCGTTAAATGTCCACTATTTAAACTTGAATCTCACAATCACAAATTTTCTAGTAATGTTATACTATTGGAATAACTTTTGGAAGCTTTCCACACTAAACCCATTTGACAGAACATGTAATCCATTCAGCTTTTTAAAAAGATTAGCAACACAAAAATTCATACATTGTAACAGATATCGCCTTCATTGTTCATACTTACAATTTTATAAAGACCGCTATAAGCTGGATCTTGCAAGAGTCTAGAGTGCCCTAGCTCTTATATCATCTTTGTGTTTTATATACAAAATACAACAGATAACATAGAAGCTGCAGACAAAGCATCTTAAGAACTTAACCAGGATGCATCCCATCCTGAACCACAATGAGATTTATTCTGCCAGCAGCCTTCAAGGAACATCCCTAAACGCTGAATCTCAAAGTCTCTGTTTTCATTAGAAAACTATGGAGAAGATAAACGGCTGGATCATAGCTCTCATCCTAACATTCACTTTCTTCAGGCATTCAAAACAAAGTGCAGTGCCTCAGACTGGGTAGGATGATGCAGGGGTGTGAACGCATGTGCGGCAATAGTGGGACTTAGGAGCACACCTCCCAAGCCCACAAATGCTCTTTAGAATGGGTGAAGAGAACTCAAGAATGCTCCATTCCTGGCTGTTTCTACCAACAATTATTTAAGAACTTGAAAAGACCTGCTGGATCAGGCAAAAAAGCCCATCTAGTCCAGTCCTCTTATCACAATGGCCAATCAGATGTCTATGGGAGGCCTGCAAGCAGGTTGTGAGGACAACAGCTCTCTCCCTACATGTGATTCTCATCAACTGGTATTCAGAGGCATACTGCTTTCCGTATCAGACATTAGAACTTAGCAACAGGAACACAGTTTTCTGGAGTGCAGCTGATGCTATTGAACATATACTGACATGGATGGAGGAGCTGAAATATAGGAAAGATGCTGCAAAGGGAAGGAAGGTGTTTTTTGGGGGGGACAGAGTTTTGAGCATGAGACTGGAACCTATGGGAAATGCAGACTGACTCTTTAAGTAATGACCTTCATTTCTGGTTGGAGAGAGCCACAGTTGGTTTACCTGCTGATTCTGCCAGCTGCCAATGGCTATTTTCCAGGTTCTCTATAGCCTTGAAAAACTAAGTCCACTGAAATCTGCCATTCCCAAACCTATAATCTTCCCTCATCCCCAGAAATACATTTTAAATCAACTAAATACATCTCTTAAATACTACCTTCTCTTTTTGGTGTCATCATTTATTTATAATAGGTACTTTTTATACTGCCCTTCAATCAAATTCCATGGCAGTTTAGAAGAAAGACTAAACAGCGCATAATCAAAAAAGCATCACAACTAAGACTAGATTGTACCATCCATTTAATTCTGCAGTTACCATCATGGAAAAGTATTGAGGCATTCCAGGTGGCTGCTCACCAACTGTGGAGCCCGCTTCTCTTAAAGCATGGAGGGCCAGCTGGCTGCCTGTAGGCCAAATACACCCACCTTCTGAGTCAATTCTGTATGCTTTACTGGTAGCTTGACCAAGTTTCAATTAAGGCACAGCAAATGCTTTTCTCATTTAATTGCAATGAAAAGAAAAACGTATGCTTGCACAAAATGTAAATAGCCCATACTTTGTTTCTTTTTTACTTTGTTTATAACATGTATTTTTACTTTCTTTATAACATGTGTGTAAATAGGACAATGCATGTCCTTGTGTAGAATACTATGCCTGAATGCATGTGCTCCATAATTTTGGAAGGCCTAACGGCCAAATAGCGCCAACTTGATTATAGAGCCTACCTACTTGGTTGTGGAAGATTGCCACTTTCTAGAGAACATAATGGCTACCAATAAGACTTTGCCTGACTATCTCAGTCAAAGTCTGATCCTCTATAATTTCTAGAAGAAATGTAAAAAAAATCCTCTCTGTACTGGCATCCAGTGACCAGGAGTAAGCAGCTATGGGGATATTCTAATTTAAATAGAGGTGTTATTTTCATGATATGGGTTTTATTTTATTTTAACTGCTCTCCAGAAAAGGGAATAAAAGAACCCCAAAATAAATACAGAAAAACTCACTGCCAAACCCATTAGCATTGTTTCTCCTACTGTGATCTGAATCCTCAGTCCAAAAAGAGCATTCATTCCTTTCAGTTTTAGCTTGTTCATCAGCTGAGTGTGTACTTCATATTCCATAAATGGCAGCAGATTACTGATGGAAGTTGCATTTGCTTCGGCTTGTGCTTTCTTTTTCAGCCGACACAACCTATTGGGATAGACAGTAAAACACAAAGGGTCATGTTCAACTATGTTTTAGTTGGAGTTGTCCCACTGAAATTAATGTATATGACTAAGCTAGTTCCATTAATTTCAATGCATCTACCATGAGGCAAACTTAGTTGAATACTATCCAGAGTAGTAGACCTGGTCTTACATGAAAAGTCTCTTAGCAATGGCTAAGAAGTTTAACACCATAAAATGCCCTATTCTATAAAAGCATGATTCCCGAGGCTCCCCACCACAATCAGTGATATGCCAAGCTATAGGTAAAATGGGTTGAAACTAGCAAAGGTCTAACAGATAAACTAGAAGATGTGAACCAAAACAAAGGACTAGATTTAAAAAACACAGTCTGACAGATGAGTTTTAAAGCTTACCAGCAACAGAATTATGTACAGCATTATCTACTAAATATGCAAATTAAAAAAGGGGGAAATGCAAGTTCCACCCAGAAGGGAGTATCGCCAAGTTAAATGGTACCTCCTTCCTAGAAAATGTGCTTAAGCTGTAAAAAAAAAATGATGTGTCAGAAGTAACAAGTTGCTTGTCTTGACAAAAAGCGTCCAGACTAAAATTCATTTTTTGCCTTCCCTTTTCCAGAGTAGACCTGCTCTTGGTAAAAGAAAACTTTCAGATGCTGTTAAAGGAGCCAGCACTACTAACATTGATAACTGTACCCTGCTCTTTAAAACAAACAGAGAGGTCAAAACAGACAGCAAAGCAAATCTGGCAGAAAGATACCTGGCTTGAATGAGACATCCTTTCCCAACCACCAGTGCATCCACAGGCAAATCTATTGTTGTGAAAAGAACATCAGGGACTTTTTGCTTCCTGCAGTTGCAGCAGTAAGTGAGGTGAGCAGGGAATGGCATGTTGAGCTCATCGTATGGTATGTGGCAAAAGCCACAACCCAGAGGTGATGTTTCCTCTAACCTAAAAAATGAGATTGTGAGACATCTAATATTACCATTCAGACACCATCTTGTGAAATATAAATATTGTATTTTACTGTGTGTTTTTTTAAAAAAACTGACCCATGCAGGCACTAACAGAACCCATACATTGTGGTGGTCAACTTTTGTTCTCTTTTTATGGTTCTTGCAACTGATTAAGCTGGTAAACCGTCACACACCTGTCACCTGTGGTGAGTCAAAATTGCCTTCAAGAGATCAGGCAGGGACGCTGTATGAAAGTTTGTTCTCCTCCCTCCTTCCTTTTTAAGGTATGCGCTTGTATATGCAAGGCAAGGCTGGAATACATGGGAACTAATGATAGAATACTTGATTTTATCAATATTAAAAGTCAAGCTTCTATCGAGTCACAGCCTTAACAAGAATAAAAAGCTCAATACAATGAAAAAACCAAGTGGCATAAATCAGAGGGACGATTGCAACACAGTGCTGTAATAAAATGGACTGTTTTGATTAGAATGAGCAAATATATGGCTATGGCTTTGCCTTTGTCTTAACAAAAAAACCTGACTGTACCCCGAGGGCTCTTGTTTTTGGAACATAACACTCAGATAATTTGGGCACCTCTACAACAGGTTCTGGCAGTTTGAATTTGAGCAGAGATAGAATGCATGAGAGCAGTGAGTCAGCAAAAGGCAAAGCACCTTGGGGTGCAATTGTTCCCTTTGGGAGTCTGATGCAGGATTAACAGTTGTGCTGCCTCCTCTAGGAGTCTATTTTGCTTGTTCTATACTCTGCCCGTATCTTTGTAAATAAAACTCATTATGGCAAGAACACCCATCCTTTTCCTGATCCAAAGAATACCCATAATACTACCCCATTACTTCTTACCTCTTAGGGAAATAGGGAGCACCTAAACGTATGTATTGTCTCGTGTTTCTGACAGCTGCAGCGTAATCTGAACATGGAGAGCTACTGTTTGCAAATCTCAAAATATTCTGCACTGAATATTTCATAGAAAGGTGGGATATATGTTTTGGGGATAAGCAAATGAAATCACAGGACACGGTAGTTTATATTGTTATCTGCACATATAACACCTTGTCCCTCTTCTTTATTTTTAAACTACCACACATCTTTGCTGTACCTTGCACTGATAGGATTTTTCAGCTGAGCAAGTGGACCAATTTGATGCTTTCGGCATAAAAAAAACTGGAATTCTGATAACACAATTTGCATATCAAAGCTTCATCATAAAAACAACTGGGTACAACCCAAGCAGCAAAAGTTAGACGTAAAACACCTTCCCTTCAGAAGCACTGAAACAAACTCATCTTGTCTAATGGAAGGGATGGATTGTATAAACAACAGCTTTAAAATAAAATTCAACAAGAACATCTCTTGCAATAGAGCCCACTGAAATGCACATATTATATTCAAAACGTGGTGCTTACCATCTTTGTATTTATTTGATACCCTTTTATATACTGGGGGAGGGATAACAATATACACTATTTTATGAGGGCCCAGAGGGAAAATGGTTAGGTGCAGACATAATGCTATTGATCCCTAATGATGAACTGGGTTAAGATGTACTTTATTTAAGTAAAAGTTTAATCCACTAATATTTGCAAGGCAAGATGAGGAAACAAGGGGGAGGGGGAATGTACCAAGATGCAATGATGTAACGACAGGTATACATTACAGTATTTTATAGGCCTGCAGAGAGGCAGGGGAAATACTGGCTTCTGGGAGAAAGTGGGAGCTGCCTTCTAGTCTAACCTCAAGCCAAAACTTTTTATCAATACAGCCTGCTTCCTAGTGGATAGTGTGGAAAGCACCTGTGTCCTAAACCACTAGATGGTGCCAAGTTGAAGAATGAGTTGTGCTTCAATACCATCAACTCTAGCCGATTTTCTCAGGCTTAATACCTCTAACGTTTCATGAACTTTAGTTGACATTTTTAAAGAGTTAAATTTACCCATGCCCATTCAAAAAATTTTGTCAATATTTCAAGAGAGGCAAATTGCCACATGATACATTTATCATCAAGCTTATGCAGTGAAACGACACAGGGGGTCACTTGTATGCAGTGTGCTATGAGAAGCAGAATAGGAAGGAGTGGCAAAGAGGAAGAAAAGATTTGCATTATGTGGTTAGTAGTCAAATGTGTTACCTTGCTGAGGCTGTTAGAAATTTGAAAACAATAAGGCTAGAGATTTGGTGCAGAGCTCCACAACTTCTGTTGTTGTTAGTGAAAAATCAGTAAAGTGGTTGGCTCCGCATCCTGTACTGTAACACTGGTAACCTACCCTAATAGAGAAGAACTATCCTGGTTTTGAGGAAAAAAATCAACCTCTCCCTTCTCTGACCCTATGGAAAAGTAGCCAGGCTGCCATGACAACCTTTGTTCCAAACAGACTTCCGTGGTGCCATCCTGGAGAAACCTAGGGTTCAGTACAGCTGCCGTGCCAGATGCAGACAAAATACAGACCTCTTCACTACAGAAAAGAAAAGAAGATGATAAAGCCACATTTTTGATTATATGCATTTTTAGGCATCCTATTTAGTAAAAGTCAAAACAATTATGAAACCAATTCAGAGCAAACCCTTTTGGAGCTGTATAGCCCAAGGTGAAGGATATAGTTACAGCATTCAGGAAAGGTGAGGCAGCCCTCTGCAGCCAGCAGGACTGCACTCTCTTCTCATCAACAGATGATTGGCAGGTGTCTATCCCACCCCCCCAATCGAAGTTGGCCCGTAGGGGAGATAAAGATCTGAGCCACTGGGTCAAAAAGGTTCCCCACTTCTATTCTACCAATATACACTAGAACTGTTGCTGGCATATTTTCCCAAACACGCTGAATGAGTGAACTTTTACTGCTGTGAAGTTTAGAGATAGTTGGCAACCCAGTTATCATACTTCAAAAAGAAGACATTTATTTCCAAGCAGCACTGATCAAAGAATGATCTCGGGACAAGAGAACACATAAAATCCTCCCATAGGTTGTGAAGCCTAAGCAAGGGTGCACTATAAAAAAAAAAGGTAAAGAACCCCTGGCAGTTAAGTCCAGTTGCAGATGACTCTGGGTTCCGGCACTCTTCTCACTTTACAGACCGAGGGAACTGGCGTTTGTCTGCAGACAGTTTTTCAGGGTCATGGGGCTAGCATGACTAAGCCGCTTCTGGCACAACGGAACACCGAAACCAGAGCAGCACACGGAAACGCAGTTTACCTTCCCACCGGAGCAGTACCTATTTATCTACTTGAACTTTTTTAGCGTGCTTACAAACTGCTAGGTTGAAAGGAGCTGGGACCAAGCAACCGCCAACCTTCTGATCGGCAAGCCCAAGAGGCTCAGTGGTTTAGACCACAGCGCCACCTGCGTCCCTAGGGTGCACTATGTTCTCCTGTAAATACAAGGATCTAATTAATTGTTCTGCTCCATCTACAAGAAACAGCAGCCAATACTAGAGTAATGGAAACTTCCTACAGTGCTGTTGCTATGTTTATTTATTCAATTATTCCATTAATTTATAGGCCAATTAATATTTGTTTCAAAAATCTAAGTGATTTTTCAAAGTAAAAAACATAAAACTGCAAGGTTTAGATTAAAAATAACAAAACAAAAAGACATTATCACTGAAAAGAATCCAGAACCAGAATACTGAAACAAACTACCAAGCAGTGCAGTCTAAAAAACAAGAGTCAGGAAATGCCTGAACAAGTAGGTTTTTAATAGGCATCTGAAACACATCACAGTGATGCATCTTTGACATGCACCAGAAAGGATGTCCCTGCCTCTCTGCCTGTTTTCTGCACCATTGTCTGAAGCATTCTCACTGCCTATCTCAGCTTTGCCAAACACTGCTTCCTGCAGTAATTTCTTCTCCTTCCACACATGCTGCTTGTATGATTCAGGACTCATTTCGAAAGCATTACAAAAATATAAGTGATTTACCAAATGCTAGTAGATTCACTGTAGCCCACTACAGCATGACACCCCAGTGCCTTTGCATGGGATTTTATTTCTTGTCGTATTTCGGCCCACCATGCATCTCGTGTCTCTGGGTCATCTGAAAGATAAAGCAAAAATCAGTCACTGTTCTGCACTAACACAAGCATGTAAAACTTTGTGGCTAAAGATCAAGAATAATTTAGCTTTCAAGCTGTCACAAGCGCCTGACAACTTTGTTTTTGCTTCCTATCAGCCTATCTCTACACTGATTAGGTAACCTTGCTTATTCCTTTGTAGTGCTGATTTCATGAACTGAAACCTTGTTGATTCACTTGACTTCTTTAATTCTTAGAAAAACACAAGATTTTATGGATTTACTTTGTCCAACATTGCCTGCACAGGGGAACATTGTGGCTATGAGCTATACTCCTCTCCTATCTAACCTTATATGTGCGTATTTATTTCTTGACTAAAATAGAGCAGTAGCCTCTGCAACCAGGATCTACCTCAAATCCCACTGTAAGGACATCCGTAGTCACCAAATCTCCATGTTAAAGAGATCACACTCATTGTGGTTTCCTCCCTCTCTGGGCTTTCAAATCTCCCTAGTCAGGATACCAAGAAATGTGGAGCTTAACGCTTGTTGTTCGTGTATAGAAGCCCCCATTGCTATATATAATTCTCCATCAATGGTGTTTTGTTTTTCGAATACACCCTGAGAGCAAAAATCATAAAACTTTTGTGTCAGTCTTCTACAACTCCATATTCCAGGTAGTCCTTCTCCCTCAGCCTCTGGTCATAGCCAATAGCCACCCTCTTGCCTATTAGGGCAAAATAAGGACCTCACTTCTGGTCCTTAACTATGACAATGTGTAAATTGCCATGTTTAGGCCTTCCTTTCTTAACAGTGGGAGAGGGGAAATCAGTGTTTTGACCCTTGCAGCTTTTGAGGTCAGTTCTACCCCATCTGGAATAGCCAAGGGGAGAGGGTACATGCACACAGCGCCAGGGGTCAAAATGATCCTGCACAAGGCTGCTTATAATTTTAGTTGTTGGCCATAACTGCAGATGCTTAGCCCAGAAATTCTTCTGTCCACCAGAAAGGAGCATAGAGGATGAAATGTTCTGTCTATTTTCGTAACAGACTAATCAGTAACTCAACTTCTACCAACATCACAGATGGGATCAAGGGTCAATAGTACCCCCACAGGTTTACTAAGCCACTTTATAACCCTGAATGGTTTAACCCCACCCCTCAATTAGAACTTTTCTTGTGAAAAAGCAAAACCATTTTTGTATCATAGCTATTTTTGCGCAAAACTAAATAACCTGGTTTTTGGGGTCACTGAGACCCCAACTGCAAGCAACCAGTACCCTCACTTCTGTAGGTGGCAAGACAGTTCAGGACCTTTAGATGCCCATTTATCTCTAGATACATAGAACCATCTCTGCAAAATGTGTTTCTGAGGATTTCTAGGGCACAATGTCACTGGCCTCCTTCAAAAGAAAGAATGACGTTCTCAAACTGAGGACAAGTTTCAGCGCTGAACTACAGGTGTGAGCGACAAGCTTACCCTTGTGTGTGGCCTACGGGATACGTTTAATAACACTCACACACAATATTTCATTATTACATATGATAATGTAATAACTGGTGAAAAATTAGTGCCATGCAAAGAAAGATGTCCAATGAGGCAGTATATGCCATCCAAATTCACAAAGTATGGCATAAAACTCTGGCTGTGTTGCAGTTCCAAAACATCATGCTTATGATACAGATATGTATATATAAGCGGGGACTGGAGAGCAGTAGTCAGACAGTAGTCAAGAAACAAGCAACACAGGATTTACAGGATTATGGATGAAATATAACAATAAACAGCCAGGGGATTGGTGCGAAAAACCTGACTCTGGGTGGCTCACTGAAAAAACAAACAAACCAGAAATTCTCCCCAAGTTCCTTGCCCACAAATCCTGAAGTGTCAACAGCAACATATTTTGGCTTTCAAGAAGATTTGACACATTTCAGTCATAGGCTAACTATGTAGTACTCTCAGATCGGAATTTTAAGCTTGAGACCATTCTGTATTGTATTAAATTAAAGGAGGCATAGATGCCTGTGACCAGATTGTTTTCATATACAGTTCCACATGCATGATTTAACTGTGGCTGATGGTGCTTAAATATATGGTGGACACTCACTGCTTATGTCTGGAAACTGAACAACCCACTGTAGTGTGAGTATCCTGAAAAATCCCCTTGTGGCTGATCTAATTCTAAAGTTCATCAACCTCTGCTCTAAGTCTAGATATGTAGCTAGCTTGCTTGGGGCATCTAGATGGCAGTCTCAGAACTGGTAAATAATTTGTCTGGCCTACTCTTACGAGTTGTGAAAAGTGGTGCTTTCTGCTCAGGCTGCTCAGTTATCATGCACTATGGTTACAAAGTCTGCAATACTAGCCTCACTTACCTGGGAGTAAGACCTATTGAATTCAACAGAACTTACTTCTGAGCAGACATGGTTAGGATTGCCCCATTATTAATTTAGAAGAAATTATAAACCTATTATTATTATTATTATTATTATTTTAAAAACCTAAGCAGTATACATGAAAAACAACATAAAACAATTATTTGTTGTTACCAGGAGTTCACCACTCATTATCACTGCACCGTTATAATGTAAGTATAATATTTGCATAAGTATATGTGTGTTAATGGCACTTTTTAAGTTTAAACGGTGGAATCAGTTTTCACACTTTACATAGTGAAGTCTTGCTAACCCCAATGATTTATGGGCAATTATAGTGTTTTATTGGGAAAGAGGTCTCAAAAAGGCATGAATTTTATTTTGTTTTGTTTTACTTGCAAATGGTCTCATGCTTAATAATTTCCACCAGGTATTTTCTTTTAATAACTTTCCTGGAGCATATCTAACCATGATAGCAAACTGATACAACTTTTTTTTTCTATTGAAAGAGGTTTAAACTATTTCAAAAGCAATGTGGAATATGGCATAGTTTACAGTTAAGCCATTCTTTCGCTACCAGTCTGTGTTTTCATACTGATATGACAACCAAAAAATAATCAAATGAGACACACAGCCTATTGCAACCAAAAAGGGAAAGGTGTTGTCTTATGCTAGTAAATAAAATGGCATTTATTAAATGAATCAAAAACTCAAGGTATAACATTCATTTTAAAGAACAATTTTGTTAACACTGTAACCATAAATGTCACGTTTGTGAGGATGCACTGAAGGTAAACCTTGTTTTTGCACCCTGGTCTTAAAACAGATTTACTTGGAAGTGGGTTCCAATGATTGCAAACAGAACTTACTCACAAGCAGGGTGTTCAGAGCAAGAATCTTTAATTCATTTATTTTTCAAATGGCTTACACATGCACCAGCAGAAATATTTGTGGAGGTTATTATGGAGCCCAACACAACCAAAAATCCAAAAGCAATTTTAATTCTCAAGAAAAATGTGTTTAAGAGCAGGACTTGCTAATTAAGAAGAAAGAAATGCATTCAGCAGCAAGCACACACACAAGCAAATAAACAAAAAAAACAAACAAAAATGACTTACTATGTACTGTGAAAGCTTACTTATAAAGGAGAGAGGGCTTTGGGGACTCCCTTTCCATAACACAATTTCAGAAGAGGTCACCATAAAGAGAAATAAAATGAATGCATTTATGAGTTTCACTGACTCCATAATGACAACCATATCATCATACAGCCATATTTATTCTAAGTGTGGCTGTCCCTGCCTTTTTAAAAAAGCATGCAGTGACTAAACTAAAAATACAAAGCATACTGCTATAAATTAGGGCTGAAAAACTGGCAGCTCGAGGGAACTCTTGGGTGACGGTGGTGGGGCTTGGCTCAAGGCCTCCCACAAAATGGAAGGCTAGCAGCTAACCATGTAAGACCTTCAGCCCCCGAGGTGTTTCTGAACTCCAGCTCCCCGCAGCCCCTCAACCACCACTGATGGTCATGGAGAATAAGAATTGTAGTGCAGGAACACTTGGAGGGTTCACCAGTTCTCATGAAACATGTAGGCCTTCTCAAAAAGCCTAACTATCTAAGGCGCTAATGAATCATTTTGATAAAACAGGTAGACCTTGTTCATAGTGTAAAAGTTTGAGAATAAAGCTTGTCAATACTCAAATGGGCATGCCTTCTAAAGAGCATAAGGATATCCAGTAATGAATCAAGATACAGTTGTACCTTGGAAGTCGAATGGAATCCGTTCCGGAAGTCCATTTGACTTCCAAAACGTTTGGAAACCAAGGCACGGCTTTTGATTGGCTGCAGAAAGCTCCTGCAGCCAATCAGAAGCCGCGTTGGATGTTCGGGTTCCAAAGAACGTTTGCAAACCAGAACACTCACTTCCGGGTTTGCAGCGTTCAAGAGCCAAAACGTTTGACTTGCAAGGCATTTGGGATCCAAGCTACGACTGTAGTTTACTTCCCGACAGGGCTGACCCAAGACATTTTGCTGCCTGAGGCAAATGACAAGATGGTACTCCATACACTCCATGTACAGAAGCTGACCAGAATGGAAGCTGGATATTACTTTAACACTGGAGGCAAAATAGCATTCTCCATTACACCTGAGGGAAGTCGGCTGGCTTAGGAAGCATGGAACTCATAGCTGTGTCCTCTAGCACCTCATTGCTGCTCATCAGCATCTACTTCGTAAGATGGCTGCCTCATTCTGTCTAATGTTAAGGCCATCCCTGGGTCCAGACAACAACCTGCTTAACCCTTACCACACTGAGAAGAAGCCAGGACCAGGTGGGAACCAAAAGCTAGATGCTTCAGAAGAAATAGTTGTCCACCGTTTAAAGATATGACTCTTTAAACTATTTAATCTGCATCTTAAACACCCATGCTGGTGTACATGCCTATAGTTAATATCTCCAACAATACTGGTGTTACATCACTGGCATTCTGTGGTACTGTGTTGGTAAAAGCAAAAATGCATTTGCCAGCATAGTGAGATCAGTCCATCAGCTACTAAAAAGTGTAGAAGTAATCATATATCTGTAACTCCTGTTTTTATCTCCCAGAATGAAATTTGGAGCATTCTAATAATTTCTATTAAACCTAGCATTCTATTACTTTCTATTAGTTTCAGCCATAGTGGATCACAGGCAGGCAAACAGATTTACAAGGTGCATCCACTTCTTTGGCTGTTTCCATTTCTTTCCTATTCTCCAGTCAAGGGCAGACTTAAGACTCTATCCAGACATCAGAGCCTGAGGATCAGTTATTCAAGTAGATGGGGTCTTTTTAGGACAAAAACTAAACCAGGCCAGACTCCTACAATGGAAAGTGAATAGCTCACTCAAATACCTTTCTAGGCACGTATGGAGTCTGATGGGGAAAATGTTCATCTAAACCTTACACTGCAAGCTTCAAATTCTGTATGTGGAGAACCCAGGCAACAGTCCAGAGGAGTGGGAAGCAAACTCCTTGGAGCTTTTTCAATGCTTTTCTCTTGCCAATGGCAGCCCCCTGCACTGCTTGACTAGGCATTTTTGAAACTTGTGGTAATCCCAAAAGCACTCTTAGAAAGTAGCATGAGAAACTGCTTTTTGGTAATAAAACTGAGATTTCATAGTTCCTTAAGCATGCCTTGAAACTGAGAAAATATCTTTCTAAAAACAAGGTATTTAAAAGAAGGGAAAGGGAAAAAACAGCGTTTCCTAAGTTATACAATGATCCATGGTAAGAAAACATTAAGATAATTACTCTAAAAATCTAAGTGTCATCACTCTTTTGTGTTGGAACCGTGTCTCAACATATATAACATATGTAGTTACTGATAGTATTGCTTAACCTTCTAAATAAGTAAGTTTGAATGAAAGTTCAGAAAAGCAGGTCAGAGAAGATGAGACAAGAGAGAGGGAGGGTGGGGAAGATAACAAGGCAAGCAAAAAAAAATCAAAACACAAGCAAATATATGAAAATTGCAAACATGGTTAAAAAAGGTCAGAGTGGTAAAAAAAAGAAATGCTCAAAAGAAAGAGGCAGAAACACTGTCGAAGGATCCCTAGACTAGATCCCTAGACTCATCCTGTTTCTTTCTGCTAACAAGTGGGATTCTGTAGCTCACAGAGTTTAAAAACAAGTTATCTCCTATTCCTGCTACCTTTACATTACTAAATCCTGATGAGCTCCATTCATGTGTTATTTGATTGTAGTATCTTCACAATAGTGAACGCTTGTTCACTGTAAATGTTTGACTAGCACCAGCTACTGAAAGGTCACTGAGTTAAAACCACTCAATGGCTAAAAACCAGACCTAAAAATGCAAAGAACATTGTGAGATCACGGTTAAACGCCATGTGGTATACCGCCACGTGGAATCCAATAACAAATGGCCAAACCAATATCCCCCCCCCCAAAAGCTAACTAGCTTTTAGCAGAGAAGAACTACGAGGATCACTTAACAGGTAGTGTATGGGAGCAGGACCAGCTCCACTGCGTCCAGAAAAACCACATGCCAAACTACAAAGTTTTAAAACAAAGTTTCTCCTCTCATACATAATTTAATTAAAAAGGTAAAAAAGAAATGAATTTCTCTTCCGCAACATCATAGGTTTTAATGGATTTTAGTTCCCCCTCTATTAAAATTAACCAAAGAACTTTGTATATATACAAAATGCAATGCATATTCACACACAATATATGCAAACTTACCTTGCATGTAAAAAGATAAAAATGACTTTAATAAATAAATAAAAATCAATACACCACAACATGGCAAGAATAGTTCATACAAAACACTGGAATGCAGTGCAATGTGGAGCATTCTATTTTTTCTGACATTTTTTTTTTTTTACACGAGCCACACAATTTCACATGGGGATGCCATCAGAGCATTTACACATTTACGTAAAGCTAAGGATTTACATAAACAATAGAGGAGTTGGGGGGGAGCAGGATGGCATGGGTCCAGCACACTCCAGAAGGGTGCCGCCTGTTTGTTCCGGCTAAAGCAAAAGCTTAAAAAACTAAGGGTTTGCAAAGCAGATTCAGCAGACAGGAGCCAGAAACGGTGGGTATTTTGGCGCATGCTTGGATCAGGTGACAGTACAGACTGAAAACTATGGCAGCTCACTGAAATGGTTACAGAAAGTAATGGCCCTGGAGTCTAGGTGAAAGCAAAAGGCAAGCATACAGAGCACTCAATCACAAGCTTTTCTAGCAAAAATCTATTCAAGTAAGTTTAGCAAGGATTCCCTAAAAACTTTTGAGCAGAAGATCTGTACAAAATTCTGCTGCATTTGAATCTTTCACTGGAATTACAAGAATCTTGCAGGGTTCGATCAATATTTTAATTCCTACAAATAGATACGGTGTTGGAGGATAATGATTAGTAGAGCAGTAATGGGACACTCCAGCTGAAAAATTGTTGCTTCTAACAAGTTAGCTGTAGTCCAATGAGCCTTCTCCTGGTGTGATTTTAGACTTGCACATTGGCTCCATGCCCTTAAATTAAGTTCTGTCAGAAATAAGTGAAATAATTTACCAGGACTAATTAATATGCTTTAATTGCAGCCTGTATGATATGATTAAGACTATTGAAAGGGCAAATCCACCGAGTACCCCAACTTGAAAATGTAAAGAGAGAAATATTGCATTAACACAAACCCCAAGTACTACTAAGACAGTTGTGCTCAAAATGCTTCCTTACTCCTGTTTCTTTATTTTCAGGAATCAACCCTGAAAAGCAAATAAGATCCTAGCCTATACTTAAAACTCAATGGATTTTTAAAAAAAATTCTGCTGGTGGCACTGGCAGTTCTGAATGGAAGTTTCTATGAAAAAGGATAATCATCTCTTACAGTACCATCCGAGATTTTTTTAAAAAGAGAGAGAGGAATCATATACAATCAAAACACATTGGTTTCAATAGTGAGTGGGACTGCCTTTTTTCTCTCAGGCACCTGCCCCCCTTTCCATTTTTTTATTTTTATTTTGGGCAAGCGCATAAAGCTAAATGTACACAATTTAAACACATGTAAGTTGTTAGTTCCCTGTACTGCCCAGATGATCCAACATGCATTATTTCCAGTTTGCATTTGAAAACACAGATTGTGTTATGGGTTGGTACTGTTTTCATTTTTGTATACAGAAATCTACACTGGGACCTTCTGGTGAATACAACTAATAATAGTAATAGTAATAGTAATAATAATAATAATAATAATAAATATTTATGCCACGCCCATCTGACTGGGTTTCCCCAGCCACTCTGGGCGGCTTCCAACAGAATTAATGATATTATAAAAAAGCAATAAAACATCAGACCTCCCTGAAGGATGGATAGATGGATAAGAACTCAGCATGCTATTCCAATACCTTTTACTCAAAGTATACCTATTAAAATTAATGGGTCTACCTTAGTCATGTCCATTCATTTCAATGCGTCTATTTGATGTAAAACTTAGTTGAATAGCAGCCACAAAATGTAGTCATAGTTGGGAATAATAATAATAATAGCACTAGAACTACATTTTATCACAGCTCGCTAAATAAGTCTTTATAGCAATTTCCTACAGAGTGTGTGTGTGTGTGTTATTTATAGCTTTGGAGGATTTTTTGCAAAAGATCCCCTATTGTGGTGAATTGCCTGGCCATGACAGGCATTTCCAAAACCGCAGCAGCACATCACATGCCCCAGTGATGTTCTGGTGTTCATTGCCTTTTCAGACCTCCTTAGAATCTATGTGAAATTAGGATATTTTACCTTAATGTGCATCACTTGCCCCGGCACTTTCCATGCCTATTTCAAACCTAGTGGTAAGATTGGTATCTTGAAGAATAGCAAAGTATCTAAGCTCTGGATCTCTAGGCAAACACTGCAAATGTCCAAAGCAGTATCTCACATGGATACACAGAAAATATCTCTGCTACAATCCTGTTACTAGAGGAAAGAGACTGCAATACAATTCAATGAACATGTATTACATTATCCCATTTGGCCATAAAGTTGAGTAGCTCCAATGCCAAGCTGGTTTAATCAATCACACTAAAACACAGAAACTATTTTGAGTCAACCTGTGGTCCATCATGCCTACATTAGAGCATCATACCTAGAACAGCCTGTAGTCCCCCGTCCCCTCAATATGCTGTTTCCTGTCCACACGGGTGGACAACCCTATATAATCAATGGCTCTGCTATTTAGTCTTTGGTGGCCAGCAGGGCTGACTCTTCTTTAGAAGCTTCTAAGAGGTCAATGTGCCCAGTAAGTATATAGTGAAAACCTCTCTTGGTCATTTTAACCTAGGGCTATTATACAACCCTTGCCAATGTTTCTCAAGCTTTGCTTGTTTCAAAATACTATTCTGCACAGAGCAAAGGGACCTACATAACGAAAAGGTGGCTGCTGACTGATTCTCATCAGCTGTACGTTCCAAGTTAAGAGATGAATGATAAGCCAGGTTAAGCAAGTGTTCAACTGGATGAGAATCAAGTATGAATTGCTCTATTATGAAGTTATTAATCCCACTAACAGTCGGGCAGCCTGCTAGCAGCACGTTCTTCAACATTATATCAGATATTACTGGCTTGCTACTACCAGTAGTAGCTGGAATAAGCAAGCTACAGTAAGCAATCTTAAAACAATCTACTTCTTCTTGTGCCAACAATGCAGAGATTCACAGGGACATTTAGCATTGAAAAATGTTGCAGTTCAGCCATTATGGTCGTAGAGACAGATCTACAATAAAGTATATATGAAGCTTCCGTAGGAGGCTGCTTCAAAAGTTTTCTGAAGGTTCTTATGCATTAGAATAATTTTAGAGACTAACAGAAAAATTATTCCCAAATTTAATTGCATAAAAGATAAAGTATGTGGGCCCTATATACTTGGTTTTTTTAAGGGTGGAATATGTCTGCAATCTGAAGAGAAACTAAAGACTTCCATTTGTGCATCAGAAATTCCCTTGCTCTCTTCCCTCTCAGATCTGTTTTGGGGGAGGTGGGTGGATCACAGCGGGAGAGGAGAGCAAGGGAAAGTTCTGCTGCACAAGGGGAAGTCTTTGCACTAACAGAACACGTTTGTTGGAGACAACTCAATGCTATTAAAATGAACCAACAAAAAGCTACTAAGATGTGTATATGCAGCACAATCAACCAGGAATCTGGAGGCACCTTAAAAACAACACATTTATCATGGCATAAGCTTTTGTGGACTAGAAGCCAGCTCCTGTTGCATTTTATGCCAACTTTTATGCCATAAAGGTTGCAGGTTTTTTAAGATGCCACAAAATTTTGTTTTTCTGTGTAAGAGTAACACTACCATTCTGGAAGTTCTAGCCATCACTGTAAGTTATATTTTCTGTAAGAATATTTGGAAAATAGCCCATGAAATGGACAAGTCCATACCAGTTTCAAATTACAACTGAAACTGTAACATTCTCAAATCATATATCCTCACAGAACTCTGGTGGCAACCCCAACTATGCATAAGCCTTGGGGAAAGAGGGAATTACATTTTAAAAAAACAAACCTGTGAATGCTTTCTAGTCAGAAAAAACTAGATAAAACCATCTGAAAACTCTTTTGAATGAGACAATATTAAGACAGTTAACAAGAAGGAGTCAGTTATTATTTACCTATTATTTTAAATGCACATGCTAAAATTATATACCCACTTAACTCAATGAACTCGGTGGGCCTTAGGGTTGGTTTGATTGACAAAATGAAGTCACCCTGTTCACACATAGATTTACATGTTGGAACTTCTGCTCCCTCGCCTCTCCTCCTGCATGCACCCAAATCTGGTCCAGAGGGATGGAGGAACTGCTAGAACAGATTTGGGGGCTGCACAGAGGGAAAAGAGGGAGGGGAAGTTCCACTGCACCAACAAAAGTCCTTGCACAAACTGGACAACTGAGTAAACCTGTATAAGTTTGTGCTGTTAATTTATTTCTTGTTTAGACTCCCAAAAAACAAATTAAAGGTAAGTCATGGTTTTTTCATTCTACATTTTGGGAACAAAAGGTCCAGAACCATTAATCTGTCAAAGCTGATTTGTGATTCACTCTCTCTCATATTGTCCTTGATGTATATTAATTAGCAGGAGGTCAGGAAATCAAAGGGGCCATGTAGACACATATTCACCTCCCCAAAGCTTGTCCCATACCTCCCTTTGACTAAAGTCCATCACATATTACAAAAAGTTGCTCCTGCAGGCATTTGATGGGACAGCCAGAGTTACAGCCAGAAAAGAGAAAATCAGCAACTAACATGTACCTGAGTGACAATACAACAGCTCTTCAGATCTGAGTGCTTTACCAACAACACCATAAACCTAGACTAGGCTGTATCATCTGTATTCAGGATCCTGAAAAGGAAATATATCCTCCAAGAAACAAGGCCAACTTTTTTTAAAGTTTCCATCAAAAAATATTTTAATCAGATAAAATATTTTTTTTAATCAGATGATATCATTCAATGTTCAAAAATAGCCCCTCTGCTCTTACTCCCTCCCTTGCATTTTTTGATCCTGATCCATTTCCAGAAAATAAAATTCTACATAGTACTTCCAGATTGAAGGGTTTCTTTCTGATATTCAGTGAAATCACTGTGAACTCACTGTATTAGATAAACCATAAACTTAATAGACACATATGCCACCATGAATCATGGGTAACCGCTTTAACTGCCAACATTAAGTGACCTCACAATTAAAGTGAAGGTGATGATCTTGTGGCTACTGACAGATGCTTAATGACAGCAACAAGGCTTAGGACTCACTGAACAACCCGCAACACTACATCCCAAATGAACATCAATTTCCAAGGGGAGAAGATTACTAATGAAAATGAGAGCTACAGTAACTTCATATAAGGAAAGTTAAATTGTAGTTGCATGATGCAAAGACCAAACAATTTTTAACTGCAGTGTATGCTTAACATTTAAAAACTGGATATAAGGGAAATATAATCTGGAGATAAAAACCGTTCCTCAAAAGTTAACACAGTCATTGGAAAAAAATAAATAAAATGCAGAGACAGAATAATAAGATAACATCACAGTGAAAAACTCTGTGGTGTCTAATAGATTGGAAAAAATTGTTCAAGGACCGTTAATGTTTACACCAAGTTATTTCTGTAATGCTGCCAAGGTCAATTAGACCTTGGGCTATCTACCATCTAAATTACACTTTTAAGCAAGCTTTCTAAGTTTGCTTTCAAAACTCAGCTACCCTACTCCAGTTCCAGACCAGTGGCCCCCTGTGGGGCTTCTTAAGAGATTAAAGCCATTTACAGAGCTCATATAGGATAAATATGAAGAATAACCTGAAAACAATAAATTGGTTTCTTTTCAAATATCTTTTACTTGCTTATGCATTTAATCAAAACAATAAGAAATATTAGAATTCTGGATTTATCAACTACTAAATCGGTATCCTGAAAGTCTAGATAAACAAAAGAGAACAAGCCCTGATCAGGAAGCTCAGGACATCAACCATGACCAGATTAGAATTGTGCAATTGGCTCATACTACCAGGGGAGCCAGACTCTGAGCTTTCATTTTCTTTAAAGTAAGTCTCTAACCTTCCTAGAATGTAAGAAAGCAAAATGTGTAGGGAACCTTCTAAGTGATTTCTGTGAGATGAGCCAAAATTATTGCTCTTGCTTTCAGTGAATTCAGCTAATGAGTGAAGTTGACCCTATGACTCATGCGTGCTTTTTTTGGACATCAGGATTTAGGAATCCCCAGAATCCTGAATAGTTGCTGCTTTTCTCTCTTTAGTTCACATTTATTTCCTGTTTCTGTCTCATTTCTAATCCTTGAAATCTCTGTAGTTTGTCCTTTACTTTCTAGCAACCAGGACTCATATTTCCTATGATGGGTTCATCTGAGATCAGGCACTCATTAGAAGCTATTTTATGCAAACACTACATATAACACAATAAGTGTGGGTGGATGTTAAAGTACCCCCCCTGCCCCTGCTGAATAGCAAATGCAAAGATGCTTAAGCACGTTGCTTGCTGTGTAGGAGCTGAAATCCAGGCATTCATTAAGAATTCATTGTATGGTTAACTTATAGTGCAATAGTATAAATGCCTACCTAGAAGTAAGTCACTTTTGTGTTTAATGGGTTTACTCTCAAGGTTAGTGGGCACAGGATGACATCTTTGACTTTTTTTATAAGCAAGGATCAGAAGTGTTCAGAAGTTAAATATAGGCAGCCCACTAAGTGTAAAGTTATTTTATAAAACGGGAATGAAATCAAATAATTTTAACACAATTAAATTACTATTAGTAAAAAATAATAATTATAACATTTTAAATTTCATAGGTTCATTCACACTGTTACCATATTGACAATATGGTATGGATTTGTTGATTGAATTTTGGCGTGTTTGTGTGTATTTTGAACCTTGTCACTGGAAGCTGGTTTTAATTACCCTTTTGTTCTCTCCGACACCAATAGCTTATTGAAACTTTTTATTCCTGTATGCATCCATGCACACACTTACAAAATGGGAAGGGCTGTGTGTGTGTGTGTGTGTGTGTGTGTGTGTGCTTCCAAAATTACTGTGTTGTGGAACTAAAGCATTTGCAACAGTATTCTTCTCCATGAGACCTACCACCCTCAAGCTCAGTTACATTATTCAGGTATAGACCAGTACACTAGAAGTATTTCTTCACCATTCAGACTTCTGAACATAGCACTTCCCAGGCCCTGAACTATCTGATCCCTCTCTTTTATTTCCATTATACGTTTTCATAAAGTGTTCCTTTAAAAAATATATCTTATGGATTTTTAAGAAAGCATACAATTTCCAACGGACGCCCTTCTCCCCACCCATTCCTATAAGACAGAAAATCAAGAGAATATAACACCATGGTTATAGATGTGACTCTGGTGGCTGCCAGTCTGTAGGCTTTCCAATGGAAAATGTTATGAAATGATAATTTTTATAAAATGTTGTTACTTTGAAGCATGCAAGGGGCTTTCCATTATGTCAAAAGAATTTGGCTTGGTAATTTGGCAGTTGCTATATTTCCACTCTGTTCTTCAGCACTTTGGCTCATTTAAAAATAAAGAAATGCACATGGAAATGATATGATACATTTTTTTAAATCTCTCAAAATCCCCCAAACAGAAGCAAGAACTACCCACATACTCCCCAGGTCCACAAATGCCTGTTGGGACAAAAAGATCCTAGGTTGCTTTCAAAAGGTTAACATTGTCTCTCAGGGAAGGACATTCTAATGGAGATGTCAAAGAAGAGACCCTTCCACAAATGACAGAACATGGAGCATGACCTCATTAGATTTATCTGGGTGCAAAGGGTTGGCTGAGGGAGGTTCTCAAGGAACTAAATCAGATTTAATTTAATGGTAGAGTTTAACGTTCTGAAACTGAAAATTCTTTTGCAAATTTTCAAGATAAAAAATAATTAAAATTTGAAATATTAACTTGGTAACAAGCTACCGTTTTTCTAATAAGACTTCACTGAGCTGCCATAATTTCTGTCAGCGTATGTAGTACTGAATGACTAATAAAATACCTGAATTGAAACTATTCCAGTCTAGCAGTTTGTATGATCTTGTGTTACCCATAATTCCGACAAAGGCTGAGTTCAAAACAGCAAATTAGTAGATCAGTTTTAGCAGAATAGTGAAAGCAAGAAAGAAAAAAAACAGCACACCACCAACAAGAACACAACTGATTAATACCACTCCACAGGAACTGGAAAGACACAGACAGCAAAGTTAATAAGAGAGTGAAAATAGAAAAGGTGGATGGAAGGATCATGCTGTATTATTCTAGCTATATTTATCAAGTAAAAAAAGATTAACGCAATTACCAATACCATGCTTCAAAAGTCCTTTTCTATGTTTCCCTACTTATTCATCTGGCAGTTCATGTATTTCTCTCTTGAATTATCAGTTAATATTATTTGAGCAGAAATGATAGCATAACGTTTTAAAGAAAGACAGCAAATGGCAGGACAGTTTCAGAACTACTGTGTTGCTTCAGTTCTGTGAGAATCTATTTTTGAATAGCCATTAGCATTTTATCAGCACAAGCATCTCTCACCTGCCTCTAGATTTTCCTTTGTTTTCTTATGAAGCATTTTTCTTTTATTTTTTAAATGTTTTTTTTTAAAAAAAACAGGAAATTAGATTGGAAAATGTTCCAATGAAATTGTCCTTTCTCTTTTCATGCTACACAGAGATTTTCTCAAGTTATGTAGGATTCATTAATGTATTGAGACATGAAAAGGGAAAAGTACTTAAATGGCTATATTTCAACTTTTGTGGCTAACGTATAAAACATTTAAAATTTCACAGCAGAAAAAGCTTGGCTGGAACTAATTGCATGTTGGAAGCGATGGGGTCTCAACTGAATAAGAAGGCTCTCTCTACAAGTGCAATATTAGGCATGAATCATCTACTCTCCAAACAGGGCCAGACCAATGCACACAACCTAGGCCCACTTGAACTGCTAGAAACAGGGGAATTCCCCACAGGCAGCTTTCCCTTTTGCATGCTGACTAGGTATTACCTCCACAGATACGCACAAGATCTGTTAAGGAGCTTGGACATGGGCATATCTTTATTGGTTAGAGGCAAAAGGGAGATTGTGTCTGATCTGACCAATATCCAATCTGGACAGGAACAGAGGAATTTTTCTGAAGTGGGAAGTCCTCTTCTTCCAAAAGTTAGACATAGAAAATGACCTTACCCAAAAGAAAAGTCTCCCAGTCCTCAGTCTACAACACCAAAACACAAGACTTCATCAAGGAGAAAAACAGAAACAAGAACCATCTATTTATACCTAAGTCTATACCTAGTTGGAAATGGATTAGGTGAGATGAAAGTTATCAAAACGGAGATCTACCAAGAAAGAAAGAATCTCCTCTCTTTGGACATGAACAGAGGGCCTTCTGGTGACCAAGCCAAGCAACCATATTAGCCACTGTGGTTCACACAAAACAATCTGAAGGCATGCAGAATAGCATTTGTTCCCAAGCTGATGCCAAGGACAGCTTACCATGACCATCAAAAAACAGGTTATCAGAAGTGATGCTGGCTGATTAGCCCACAGAAACAAACTGATTCCTGCAGTCAATGCCTTACGAGCAGCTGTCATGACATAAAGCTTCTTCTGGGGGTACATTTACCTTTCTGACATTTACCTTGCTAGGAAATCAATTACAAATCAATGCAAACTGTCATAGAAAACAAGTCAGTGACAGAAGCATCCACTTTAGGGGCTATTAAAGGATTAGAGATGTCCTTAGGAAGGGGACACAATCAATATCTCAACTTGTTTCTGGGTTTTGCTGCTGATGGAGTCTTCCATTCAGACCAAAACCTGGGCAAGGAAGGGTGGAAATGAAACTTGAAAAAATGATTGCGTAGAACCAGGAAATACTTTGGTTATTTCCAGAGGCTAGGAAGTAAAAGGAGCCTGTACATCCACTACCTTAAGTGATAATTCTCTCAAAGTACTTCTAAGGGAAAGCAACTATCTTTTTTGCATTCAGTACAGTGGTGCCTCGCAAGACGAAATTAATCTGTTCCGTGAGTCTCTTCGTTTTGCGGTTTTTTTGTCTTGCGAAGCACAGCTATTAGCGGCTTAGCGGCTATTAGCGGCTTAGCGGCTATTAACGGCTTAGCGGCTTTAAGAAAAAGGAAACAAACTCGCAAGAACTCGCAAGACGTTTCGTCTTGTGAAGCAAGCCCATAGGGAAATTCGTCTTGCGGAACGACTCAAAAAACGGAAAACTCTTTCGTCTTGCGCGTTTTTCGTCTTGCGAGGCATTCGTCTTGCGAGGCACCACTGTACTATTGAAACTGGAGAGGTTCCCCCTTTTAATAAGCTTAAACAGAGTCCCTGTTTTGACAAGAGCTGTCCCACTACTAGAGTTCCCCCTTTATTGGGGAATGAAGGTTTTGGAGTTGCCCTCATCATACGGACAGGATCTGTCGAACAGTTAATATTAGGAAAAGTTCCACATGAAGAATACTTAATTGGCTCTTTGCCTTTCCCATAACTATCCAGTCTTCTCCAGAACTCCTTAGAGCAGGAACAGTACAGAAGAATAAGGAGGAATTAGAAGAAAAGGGACTGATCTGAAGGGTGTTTCTGAGTAGGCACTAGGATATCACCATTTGGGATTGTGGTCCTTCCATTGCTTGAGGTGGGAAAATGTTATCACTCCAGAGAAAGCAATCTCTTATCCCTCCCTTGGAGTTTCCGTTAGAATGTCAGTTCACCTTCTGGCCAAGTGCAAAAACTGCTTAATACAGTGGTGCCTCGCAAGACGAAAAGAATCCGTTCTGGGAGTCTCTTCGTCTAGCGGTTTTTTCGTCTTGCGAAGCAAGCCCATTGACGGGATTAGCGGATTAGCGCTATTAGCGCTATTAGCGGCTTTAGCGGCTTTAGCAGCTTATCAGCTTATCGGATAAGCAGATAAGCGGCTAGCGACTTAGAAAAGAGGGGGGAAAGGAAAAAAAACACCCAGGAACTCGCAAGACATTTTCGTCTTGCGAAGCAAGCCCATAGCAGATTCGTTTTGCGAGGCACCTCCAAAACGGAAAACTCTTTCGTCTAGCGAGTTTTCCGTCTTGCGAGGCATTCGTCTTGCGGGGCACCACTGTACTAAGACCAACCATTCAACTAACAAACACCACAGCCAAAAATTAAGACAACTACATATAACATATAAAGACACAAGGTTAATATATGGACAGTCCACACCTAACACCAAATCTTAACTATAAGCTTGTCAGTCAGTCTAGGATGTATTGTGGATGTTCTAGTGGCCACTCAAAAACACCTTTCATATAGAACCAATAGTCCCTTTTCTAGTAGGCACTAGACACCATAAAGCGGGATGCGCTAAAGCTAACCCTGACATGTATGGGTAGGTGCTGGCTGCTTAATATGTAGGAAGATCCCACGGAAGTATTCACCTCCCAAATGCAGCCTCTGCAGAAATGTTTATCTTAATTCTTATAATTCCTAGTAATTGAGCTCCGACTAGCTCAAGTGGCTGCCCCACAAACCTCCTGAAGAGGTATGTTAGTGGAAAATGCCGCTGAAGTGGCAACAGCCCCTATGGAATGGGCCTCAAAGTCTGCAGTGACAGTTGACATGTATGTCAGATAAAATGCAAGCTGCAACTCGCCTAGGAAGGGTGGTGGTAGAATACTGTTTTGCTGTGACTAATTCTGCTGAAATCTCAGTCATTAAGCGTGTATTAGTTTTAATGTGACAGGTGTTAGGAGAAAATAACAGCTTACTGCTGTACAATACACTGAGCAGAGGGAGTAGTAGATCTTCTTGTTTATACAGACAAAGCAACTGAATTGCATTGAAGCACTCATAAACACTGGAGCTACAGGCAAGGGGGGTTCTTCAAAATCCATAGCCATAAACCCTAAAGAGCTATCAGAATTCAACAAGACCTGTTGATCTGGGGCTGACCCAGATCCTCTATCATCTGCAGAAAGTTTCTCATCTCTGTGATTCACTGGTGTTTGCTGACATTCACCATTGTATCTGGTTTGCCTGTACACAAGCTCTGAAGCTGATGGCCACCTCCTCTGCCCACTGCTGGCCAATCAGGTTCTGTACCATCTCCTTGCCCACTGCTGCCACTGCTACTAAGGGGTTGGTCATGGTGTGCTGCTTCACCTTCAAGTGGCAGACATCTATTTGCATGCCTTGTTGACTTGGCTCCAACACCTTGCTTCTTGAGAGGAATTGGGCCATTGGTGCTACTATGCCCTCTATCAACATAGCTCCTGCACAAAGGCAGAAGAACCTTTCTTTAAAGCACATGGTATTTAGCAGTCGGTAGAACAGCAGGGACACGGGTGGCACTGTGGTCTAAACCACAGAGCCTAGGGCTTGCCAATCGGAAGGTCAGCGGTTTGAATCCCTGCAACTGAGTGAGCTCCCTTACTCGGTCCCTGCTCCTGCCAACCTAGCAGTTTGAAAGCACATCAAAGTGCAAGTAGATAAATAGGTACCGCTCCGGCAGGAAGGTAAACGGCGTTTCCATGCACTGCTCTGGTTCGTCAGAAGCGGCTTAGTCATGCTGGCCACATGACCCGGAAGCTGTACGCCAGCTCCCTTGGCCAATAAAGCGAGATGAGCGCCACAACCCCAGAGTCAGCCACGACTGGACCTAACGGTCAGGGGTCCCTTTACCTTTACCTAGAACTGTTCACAGCCTTTACCCAGCAGCAAGATAGGGGAGTCGAGAAGGATTATAAATGGGAGGCTGTGCTTTTTTAAGGGTTCAGTTAATTTCTTCAATCAAGCAAAATAATTATTCAAGTAAAATCAATTTTCACAATTAATGAATTGAGAGGAATAATGAATTAATAAATGAGAGGAATGAATTAAAAGACTCAGTTAATTTGAATAAACAGGATCTCAATTAAATAGGAAAGGTAACAGGGCAGTTAATAAGAGACACACCACAATGAGGTAGCTTAACTGACAACTGACTGAAAATAAAATTCCCAACACACTGAAACATTGAAACACAGTAACTAAATGCAATCACTCTGAAGTCTCAGAAACAGTGAAAATGACAACTTGGTGAACTGGGAGCAAAGGCCAGAAGAGCAGTAAGTGAATATAGATCTGCTGCAACTGAGGTGGGAAAACAAACTGACATTCCCAGAGGGCTGAGACCTTCCTTCGGAGTTTTCTTGCCTCAAGCAACAGGAAGACTACAATCTCATCTGGTTGTGTCCTAGTGCCCACCAGATAACTCTTATTTTTTATGTTTACAATTAGATTTGTGGCATTAATGGCACTTGCTCCTTTTCCTTTAGGACCTTAAGCTCAAGGGCTTTATTCCTTCCCTCCTTCCTGAGTCCACAGGGCTCCACAGCTTACTCTGAGTAACAGGAGACTGAAGCAGGGTTGTAGTCTATGATGTGAGTCTAAAGAAACTGATATGTGTGGCCTAACTGAGGCCACTGCTGAAGTTCCTGATTGGGGAAAGGGCAACTAAGTTCCCAGTATCACACTTTGAATCTATCCAAGGAAAAGCAGAGTGAAATGTTTCTTTAAGGGAGGAGTCTAGGGCAGGGGTTGTCAACCTGGTCCCTAACACCCACTAGTGGGCGTTTCAGGATTCTAGGTGGGCGGTAGGGGGTTCTACGGTGCAAGCTGAATCCTCCTTCCATCGAGCACTGGTGGGCGGTAAGGAAACTTTACCATCAAGAAAGATGCATTAATGGGCGGTACGTATAAAAAGGTTGACTACCCCTGGTCTAGGGAATTATTCCCTCTGGGATCTCCAAACCTAACCTCTTTTGCTCCTCTTTCTCTGCTCGTCTAGAGTAAACGGGACACCACCAAACTCTAATTTACACCCTTTCCTATCCTAACTAAAGCCCAGTGGAAAAAAAGATTAGACTGACTGGGAAATGGGTAATGCTAAATGGAAAAACACTTGCTTTCTAGTTCTAAGAGGAACGGACCAGAGGCTGGGAGCTCACCGTTTGAATAAGGGCATTTCTAACCTCTTGCCTCTAACTTGCTGAAAAATGGAGTTCCTCACTTCCAAATCTTACTCTGTTCATGTTTAGAGAATATTCTAGGGAAATCTCAGGATAATTTATGCAATTTTCCTTGATTCATCACAAAAAAATTAGGCATGCTGTTCCTAGGTTCTGGAAGTATCCTCAATAGCCAACTTTCAAACATTTAAAAAGAGCTGAAACAGAAAAACATCCAAGTTTGCACTTGAACACTTTCTCTTGAGAGTCCTAGTAAGATTTACAATTTGAGAATTCAGTTCTGTCATTGATTCTGTTGTTATATATCACTGGCATTATAATTAAATAGCTCGATGACATTGAAAACATTTACAAGAAGGCTGTTGGGAAAAAGTCTTGCTAAAGCTTTGTTTATTTCACTTCAAAACATTTTGCAAGGTCTTACCTCCAATAAATATATATAAATATACAGAGTGTCAAGGTCACAACAAAATATCAAGATTTATTCCTGTAACATACCAGGATTGTGAATGCGATCCAGGAGCTTCACTGAGCGAGCACTGACAACACCGCCTACATGAAGAAGGAAGCCTGAAGGAAAGGCCGTCAAAGTAAAAAAAGGAAATTCCTGTTCCGATAAGAAGAAAAAAGGAAGAAATTATAGTTGATCTTAAGGGCTTGGCCTATTGTTCACCAATCAACATGCAAGTATCTCTTGAAACACAGGCAAAGCAGAACAGTTGGCAAAATGCTTTTTAAAGATTTACACTATGCATTAAACAAGCAAAATGTATGCCATCCACAGACCCAACACGCTGTGGGGTTAGCAGACATCTCAAAAGCAGTTAAGACACTACTTTCCCCCTCATAATGCTGCTGCTGGGCAGGAATGTTAACTATATATTGTGACACTAGAATCCTAAAGCCCAGAATGGGCACATCGTGCTGGACTCAATAAAATGTACTAGTGAGTACATTAAGAGGGATCAGGGAGTATTGTAGAGATATTATTAGGAGACTTAGAGCCTGATCTTAGTGGTGTTTACTTGTAAGTCCTGTTTAATTCTTACATTTAATTACATTTAATTCTTACATTCCTACCCTTCCTTTCTTCCAGGGAGCTCAAGACATTAATTACTACTACTACTACAGCTGCTGTTGAAACCATACTGGGTTTAAATCACATGGAAACCAGTAATTTACTTCTAAGTAAATGCTCAGCGAACCGTGCTGGGAATCCTATAGTCTATCTTTGTTCTGGCAGTTAGGTATCTTCTTTACCCTCCATATTTTTTGCCTCATAAAAAACAAATACACTATGCAAAGACTTTGCCTTTATTTTGCAGAAACTGGACCTCAAAGAGTCATTATACTATGGCAATTAAAAGACAAACAAATGCTTTAATAGGTGCTAAACAGTCTTTTTACTCTGAGAGGAGAATGTATTGAAAAATGCTGAACCTAGGACCTAATAAAGTCCTGGATTTTTCCTTAACTTCAATCAGATCATATTACAGTGACCCCCCCCCCATGTTTGTGCTGAAATTTCAATCTACAATGCTAGTGTAATGATGTACCTTGTGCTATTATGATAATGACTGTTGTCACTGTTTCTGCAGCTCCTGAGATTCGGCTGCTAGAGTGTTTTATTTCATTAAGCACATCCAGAAACACAGTAAATTAATTTGGGCCCATCATTTCAGAAAATATCCTTATTATGCATTATTATTATTTATTCCAGGAGCCCAGGGCAACAGGATGTTTGAGAAGAAGCCTTAGGAAAATATTATTTGATTAGTCTCCCATAACCAAGAGGCAAATATACCCACAATACTTGGAATGGTGGTCAAGTTAAAATTATTTTACAGGCATTACTGATCCCTAACACAGCATGAAACACCCATGCATTGGCATAAACTAGGTTTAGGCTACACTAGGTGATTGCAGGCTGCAGTTCCCCTTCCCATTGCAACCTTAAGTTCGAATCATGTACATCTGCTTTCCAGACACAAGAGGGCAGGAGGAGAAGGGCTACAAGGAGCAAATGAACGGATAGGAAAGAGGAAAGGGATGGCAGGAGTGAGTCTGAACATGAAGCACAAGTAGAGGAGTAGCACCACTCTTTCCAAAACCACAAGGCTAATGTTCAGAGAGATGCAAAGATAAGGGGGGAGGGAATCTTGACTCCAGCAAGCAGAAATTTCTGGGCAACTAAAAATGTTCTGTGTGATCACACAGCCCATAAACAAATGGAATTTACAAACAAAAACCCATAAAGAATAATAAAGAGGAATGCAACTTTAAAATGTATCACGAAGTTTTTTCTTGAACATGGCTACTCTACTTGAGGGATAAAACTGAATCTAGAGAATAAGATTCAGATAACAAGAGTTCTACTATATCTTTTATGCAAGATTATCTTTTTGTCTCTAAACAGAGATGGCCCCAAATGGGTTGGTCTAATGCAGATCTGCACACAATAATATATAGCATGTTTATGGGGGGAAAGAAGATGGGTTTCCATTTGCCAGTTCTACAGCATCAATGCAAAAAATAAATGGAAGTTCATGCAACAATGGTTTATTTCATAATGTTCCTATGATTGGTAAGTGCAAAGGAAAGGAGAAAATAATCATTATCACATCTTACTATGACATGAAAAATGACAGATGCCTCTACTTTCATACTATAAAGCTCACAATCTGGATAATCTACTGATTCAGTTACATAGCATTAACATTCTTCCTTAGATTATAAAAAGCAGTACAAAGAGGGGGAGCATGGAAGAAGCCAAGAAGCCATTAACAAGCCAAGCACAAACTTCGAAAAACCTTCTAAAAGTCTGAAAAGAAAATATGCAATTCTTAGCATTTCAGAATATTTGTTTTTGCTGAGAGGTATGGTGTTTTTAAAGAGCTAGATATCTAACCCACAAGATTTCATAGGCAGTTCTAAAATGAGATGGGAAATAGAAATAAGAGATAAGAACAAGGAAAATAAAAAAGATATTCAACTCTTGCAACCTCTAAGCCTGCATTACCATGATTATTTCAAGCCATCTCATTTTTTTCCAGTTCAAAAATGCAATGAATCATTTGCTTGTAATGCTAAACCATGAGGATGATCTGCAACAAGCCTTTGGCCTGTGTGTTCCCCCACCACCATCGTCTTCTTCCAGGGTGGCAGTGAGGAGGCATTCATAAGTTTTTCTTCTGTTTTACATTAACCACATCTTGTTGTGTTGCCCAAACCCTGACAAACTGTGGTCAGTCTTAACTATGGTGATTGGAAACAAGACAATTTCAAAGCATAGTTTATGAAACTGACTTGTTTTCACTAAGCACAGTTAAGATTATCCACTGTTTAGGCTTTGGATATAATGCTAAACTGTGGATAATCTAAAACAGAAGTTTCTGATCTCCATGCCTGAAACAAGATGGGAGAGGGCACAAGCCCAAGACTCACTACAGCTCTTCCTTGCAACACAAACCATGGTTTAGTGTAATTTGCAAACAAGATCAATATATAAACCAACCATAATTTTGGCATCTGCCATATTCTAGCTCATGATACATAGGCCTGTCCCATGCCATCTACATTTTAATCTCATGACTTCTAATTATATTTAGTCCTGATATTCAGAGTTATATAGTCTCCAAATGTAGAGGTTTCATGACCAATAGCCAACAAGAGCCCTACGTCCCGTGTATTCCAATTAAAAAGGCATAATAAAAAGACTGCAAAATGCATTTGCACAGGAGACATCAACAATAAATCATCTCACAAGAGCTCTCAACCCATTTCCACTCCAGTTCCTTGTACTGTAAGTCGATGGGATTTTTTTTAAAAAAATAAAAAGCCAGCTGTGCAATCACACAACACAGCATACCAGTATGTATGAGCAATCTAAGACTTTGCTTATACTATTTCCAATTTAAGAGGCACCTGGGGACATCTAGGGGGCTGCTTTAGGAGAGAAGAGTTTTGAACTAGATGTCCCTTTAATCCAACTCATCTGTTCACCTAGGCCTTCTCTGACAGGTAATCCTACTAAGTTGATGTATTAAAATGATTGCTGATTGGCAGCGTTTTTGTACAGTACTTGTTTTATGAATGTAATTTTATTGTTGATTTTAAGCTGTTCATTGCCATGATATTCTTTTCTTAGTATTGGGAGTATATTTTTGCACATATAATAATTCAGAACAAACATTAATACATCTTCAGCCATTTTCTTACATTCCTTAAGTAGGGAATGTAACATCAGAACCAGCCCCTGGAAATTATTTCCTAGCCACATTACTGGCTTATAATCTAACCCCTAAAACTGGTACAGGCTACAGGGACAAACACTTCTGCATAATCCACACAAAAATCAATAGAAGAAACATAGCTGTAACACTTGGTTTGTTGCACTACAGATGACTAACAAATGGTTTGATTGGAGAGGGGAAAACAGAAGCAGATGTAAAATTAAAGCATATTTCAACTATGCCAATTAGACCCACAATGTACCATCACACAGAGTTTATATGCATACTCTTTGGTGTGAAGGTATAGGGCATTTTTAAAGATACATTTTAAACCTAGCCTTTTTCAAAGTTGTATCTCATTTACAATGATTGTTCATGACTAATAAACATATTAATAAAGAATTCATCAAAGTATTAAAAGCTTGCAAAGGGAGTTTAAAATAAAAATAAAGTTTATCAACCCGAACAACATATAAAAACCCACAAAACATTTAAATTACTAAGACAGGGGCACAGGGTAAAAACTTCCTTTTTGCGTTAGTTTATTTTCAAATTAAACATTACAAAATAAACAATATGAATTGCTATTTAAATGAAATGAAAAGTTAAATGAAATGTACAGTCATGCGGACTATTGGTTAAGCAGGAGGATTTGGATTTGTTAAATGATCTGAGGAAAAATCTTTATAAATTTGCATCCGAAGGATTCTAAGGGGAATCTGGAAATAATACTATTAACAAACAATCCCAAATTCCTAAAATGTAACTCTGAACTCGAAAGGGGTTTCAAAATAAAATTAACACAAAAAGAGAGGGCTTAAAAGAAATGTCACACAATGATTTGGAACATACCCGCCTTCTACAGAACCTATGAGGCGATCCTCCCTTAGCAATGGGTAACACAAGAAATGAAAAGAGAATCATCCAATTTATACAAACTTAATGTTGCTATTCATTTTAGAATCAATCCACATTTTAATGGTGTGTGCATATACAGTGTTAAGTATATAACATTTGGTACAGTCCTCTAAACACAAGTAAAAGTTTGTCTTTAGTGAAGAAATCAGAAATTCACAAAGAATTTAAGTGCAGGTATCCAGTTGAGCTTAGATCCATTCGGCCAGCGGTTCTCAACCTGTGGGTCCCTAGATGTTGTTGGACTACAATTCCCATCATCCCTGAGCTCTGGCCTTGCTAACTAGGGGTGATGGGAGTTGTAGTTCAACAACATCTGGGGACCCACAGGTTGAGAAAGGCTGCATTAGGCAGAATGTACTTATAGTTCTAGTTCTAGTTCATAAAAAATACAAGCTTAGGGAGCAGGTGGAGGTTATAGCTGCTTTGACATGGCACACAAATTCATTTACATGAAGATTTAGCTTTTTAAATTCTGTTTTAGAGCTTTCTAGAGTCTGAGTATGGATATCCAACAGTGTTTATCAAATTGTGAGAAAGGACAGAAACACATAATACTGTACATACTTATGGTGGAATACTCCATGGCATGTCCTTGTTTTGAATATCTAATTCTCCCATCTGAACAAGGATTAAATCCCATACAGTTCAGGATCAACACAAGGAAATAACAGTTGTTTAATGAACAAGGAAATTAGCAGTTGATAAAGAGACATTTCCACAGTGGCGGGTTCTGACATGCAAGTTAAAAATAGGATTATCATGCTTTTCTTACCCTTTGCTCCAAAGCCGTCTGAGTTTGCTGTCTTAACAGAGCTTTTAATGGCCCCCCTTCTTTTCCAGCACTCCCACTGCCCATTCCTAAAGGATATCAGCATGTAAGTAAGCAGTCATATCAAACAGCTAAATAATATATTATACTGAATTTTCATTTAAAAAACATGGCATATACATGCAAATGTAAGAATTATGAAAGTCAAACTTGCAAGATTCGGAAAGTCAAAATCATTTACCATGTACCTTTGCACAAAAAAAAATATTTTGATAAATACAATGTGTCAGTCTTTTTATTTCTAATTGTAGAGAAGACCTAACAATGTATTTTTATTTATCCAATGCAGCAAAAAGATGGCAAAATTTTCCATCAACATGTACAGAAAAATTAAAAGAGATTTAGTGTAGATAGAAATAAAACTGTAGAAGGTCGAAAGATTTAAACATAGTTTGTTCTTTCTTTCACTGATAATACTGGGAACTTCAGGCTTCAAGCTCTAACTTTTACAAGCAGGTCATCAATTAGAATAAAAAATCTGTCAACATGCTCATAAATTGTGGTTAAGTAAAACCTATCGTTTTAGAGGTTTCAGTGTACTGTTGGCAAAAGATTGTGACTCTCTTCTCCTGACATTAATTGGATTTTTTATGTACTTCTCTTTTCAAAAGTTTCAGAGTAATAGAACATTTTTGCACCAAAACAGTGGTCTAAACCTTAGAGTTTATGTGGACCCCTAAAAATTTGCACTATATGATATTCACATGAGCCCAGAGCATTTAGAAAGGCAAACGTGCAACTGTGAACATTTTTTGTTTCTACAGTAAAATTTTCAGGGTAAAGTATTAAAGCATTTAGGGGCATTACACCTCAGTGTTCACACAGAAGGATCTAAAATAATAAGGAAGGCCACAGCTCAGGGGTAGAAAACATGCAAAGGTTTAATCTCTGACATCGGCAGGTGGGGAAAGGAAAGTATTTCTGCTTGAAACTCTGGAGAGAAGCTGCCTGTGTAGGCAGGTGGACCAAAGGTCTAACTTCGCAGAAGGCAGCTTCCTGTGTTTCTAATGCAATTTCTACTATCAAAGCCAGTATTTTTTTTTTACAATATACTTGCTAAGGGCTTGTTTCAATGCTGCCTAGTTTCCTTACACCAATATGGATCAGTCTCGTCTAAAAATCATAACAATTCCAGTGGTGAACTGCATATTCTCTCTCGTAAGAAATAACCCACCAGAAACTGCTTCTGGGCAAGCCTCACTGAAATAAAGGGGTCTTACCCATTAGCAAGTAGTACTTACAAAACAGAACATCACTGGCACTCTAAATATCTCAAATCAGGCACACCGGCTTGCCCCAGCAATTGAGGGGGGTCGGTACCACATAACGTGCGCACACCGTGCGTGCACAACACACTGACACCATTCGCGTACGCTGTGCGACATGCTGACATGTCACACACACACTGTGCAGCTTGAGAGTGATGTGCGCACGTCACATGGCATGCGCACACAGTGTGCGAACATTGCTGCAGAATATTGAGGGGGCCTGTCCACTTCCTTGAAAATTGGGGGGGGGGCCTCTCAGCCCCTTGCTTCCCTTAAAGGCATTCCTATCTCAAATAAATGTGGACAGCCATACCGTTGACAATTCAGATACTGATGCATACACTAAACACCATCCTATACTAGACTAAAAACTAATCTGTTTAAAATAAGGCAAGTAAAAAGAAACCCACAATTCGAACAGATAAGCTCATTGTAAAGTGTAAGATTTCCCACCCATTCACACATTAATTTTGTACAAAACATCTGAAATGGTTGGAATTTTTTAACCACTTGCAAATTCACAAATGCAAACAATGCAAGCAGAAAGTGGTTGTAAGTGTTTGAACTTATATTGGTAATCTACATGTTAAATCTGCATCAAAACTGCCAGATTCTAGAGTAAGGACAAAAGAAAAAAATCAAAGGAAATATTTTTAGCTGCTTTTGGATAAGGAAACTAACATTAGCATCTGTATAGTCCCATTCTGTATTGTCAATCTAATTTAATATCTTACAAGGGACTATACAATACTAAGAACGAAGACAGAATGGAATGAAGACTATTTGTGGAAATGAAACATATTTTTGCAGAAGAAAGGACAACTAAAACCCCAACTGTAGACAAACACTAACCAAGTATGTATTCAGCAAAGCAATCTAGAGAAATAACAGGCAAAACAGAGGTGCATATTGGGAATGGTATTCAAAACAGGACAGAAACCAAATATGGCTGATGGCCACATGATGGTCAACAGAGTAATAGAAATGGCCTGAAGAGGAAGAATGAATGCTTGTTCCAGGTAAAACAGAGGAACATTTTAAAATGACTGGAAATGAATTATTACATCACCATCTAATGATGAAAAACAAGCCAATTACCAATGCTTGGTAAAGTTTTTGGAGAAAAAAAGAGAAAAGTCTGTAGTATAAAAAGGATGAGGTTTCTTTAAATGGTGACCAAACTTTAAAGGGGGGGAAAGCTGATTAAGTTGAAAAACCCATTTAGTGAGTAGACTTTTGTTATCGTCATGCAGCCAGCAGTTTTCAGAGTTTTAAAAGGGTGTGCAGCGAAAACAAGAGAAGCTTTAAAACTACCCTCAGCGCCAATAGTGGGACTAAAAAAAACAGCAAGGCGATTTAAGATTGATCCTACCAGAAGCAGCCAGAAGCAGCTCTTCAGTGAAAGAAACACTTTTCCTCAGAATTGGGTTGGCATGGCTAGAGTGAAGAGGGTTAGAGATAGACCCAGAGAGAAGGAGACAGGGCTGTTTAAGCTGTGGGGAATCACAAGATAGTGTAGGGGAGCTGGGATACAGGAAAATCCTAGGTCCCTGGGGGGAAAGTGCTGTGGAGGGAAGCAGTAGAGATGATAGATTTCAGAAGATGATTAAAAAGAAATCAAAAAGAAAAAAAGCAAAATGAATCAAGCAAAACCAAATTTTGTAAAAACGAACAGACAACCTAACAGAATATGAATGAGCTATTACTGACATACAATAAATGAAATGACAAATACAGCACTACAATGTGAATGAAGAGCACATTCAAATGATACATTTATAAACTGTTCTTCCTTAATAGCAGGAATGGTTTCAATGTGCTTTTACTTTTATTTCAAACTCTGATATTCAAAATAAATTTGCTTGCAGATGATGAACAGCTACTTTCCACGAGCCTAAAAAATGTACATTTTCTTTTTCAGAAGAATTTTGGAATTTCTTAACCTGAACCACACAGCCTTTAATTTTTATTTCATGTTTGCTCTACTCTAAGTTTTTATTTTTAGTTCCTATCTTCTCAATTTCCTCCACATATATGTTAGGGTAATGACCAGTGTTAGAAAAACAGCTAGCAACATTTTATTAGGAAGATTACGCTGCTGGTTTGCAAAAAACAAAAAACAAGAAACAGCACTCATAAATCAAGACTAAGCTGCATCAAAGTAGCATTCTGAAGATGCTAATCACTAACACTTAACCTACACTGACAGCAAAACTTGACCCTTTTTTAGCAATATACACTTGTAATATATTTAGAAAGAATATATACCATCATTTCTATTAGTATACTCTATCTGGTTAGACGTGATTGTAGCCTATGGTGCCACTTAGCGGATGTGAAGTGTTCCATCAGTGGAATGAGGAAGTAACTTTCAGTATGAAATCTGTTTTTGAAAACTCTTCTTGATTTGTCATGCATTATAGAGGTTTGCTTTTTAAGCAGAATGTGTCTAAACCTCTCTTGAGATCATGGAACTAGTTTCAGAGTTTGAGATCCAACAAACTCCAAGTGGAATTCTGCTAACGGAATGAAACTTTCCAGACACTGTCTGGCTTCAGCCAATGAAAAGGACCGGGTTCATTAGGAGTAGAATGGGATACGAAACAGGGTAGATGCAGATGAAGGAAGGAATCAGAAGAAAATGTAGAACTCCCCCCCCCCCACACACACAGACACTTGGTATTAGCAGAAATGTATTCCATTTGCATGAGAGTCCCTTTGGATTCCATCCATGGTCTAGCCAATTAGCCTATTTAAATTTCACCAAAGTCAAAGGAATGTAAGTGAGTGCAAGATTTTGGCCACGTTGTTGAGATCCTTGCTCCTCCCATTAGTTATATTAGATCTAATGCAGTAAATGTTGTCTCTCTCTGTGTGTATGTATGTGTGTGTGTGTGTGTGCGCGCGTGCCTGTCTCTCTCTCGCTCTCTCTCCCTCACACACATGCACAAATGTTAGCCTACTTTCTAAGAATAGTTAATGCCATGCCAACTATTTCTTTCCTTTTCTTTAAATTCAACAGCACAGAAAAATAATTTATTTCTGTAAAGACAATGGGTTGGATCCACACTTAAAATAGACCCAGCAAAGCCAACTTAAGTTATTTTAAGTCCCATGGATACCATGGGCCTACTCAAAGTATGATCAAGTTTAGATCCACACCACATGTTAAAATAGCCTCTTAAATCAACATAAACAGGAATGTGCAGTAGGTATCCTTTAATCTAGCAAAGGAAGTACAAAATAAAGATGTACTCTTTTAAGAGTAAACAGATGAGAAACATACTCCCTAACATTACTAAATTCACCTACAATAATAATAATAATAATAATTTATTATTTATACCCCACCCATCCAGCTGGGTTTCCCCAGCCTACAATATTTTCAATGCAACAACAACAAAATGGGGCAGGGGAAAACCGGATTTAAAATACAGCTGTTCACAGCTGAGATTCTGTAGCATTTTCTAAAATTATTATTTCAAAAAACAAAAAGACAACCAAAACAATTGCATTATCTTCTAGCAGAGTTTGTTCTTAAAGATAAAAAGAAGAAAAGTAGATTGCATGAAAATTAATGCACATAGCCAAATAGTTAGAGCAGTGTTTCTCAAACTTTCTGAACTCAGGCTCCTTTTCAAACATCCACGACATTCTGCACATAATATCAATTATTTTCCACAGATGAACCTGTAGAGATCCTTGCACCTAAATTAGGTGCAAGTGACTTGCTGTTATGCATAAGGATCTGGATAATACCCCCCCCATATATTTTAGAAAAGAAAACTGGAGCTTTGCATAGTGATTCATCAAAGATCAAAGCAGTAGCAGTTTCTAGGTTTCTTGTCTGTCAAATCACCCTGAGAAGATGCAATTTGCCTCAAGTCCCACATTGATCAGAGAGGTTGTCTGTCAGGGGTACTCCACTGAGGTCTCGGTTGGAGCCCAAGGACGGCACTACAATTTTCGAGATCCTATCCCTGACTGGAACTTCACAACCTTTCTCCTGGTGCCTCATGCCTCCTAAGGGAAGCCTGTCCCATGGTTTGAGAACCACTGAATTAGCAGGCAGAGTAAAGCAGCAACATTAAGGGATGATGGCATTTGTTTAGTGTTTGTAAGATGGCATGCATTCACTCCATACCTTAAATGAAATAATAAAACTTAAAATGTTTTCTACATCAAAACTTAAGTTGCTAACAAGAATTTACTACTATCTTAAAGTAGGTGGTGTCTATGCCAATTGTACATAGCTTGGAAGCAGCTCAGCAGGCAGCCCGTTGGCCAAATTTCTAGAAAGCTCAAGTGATTAATTGCCAAAAAGTGCACACATACAGAAACATATTTGGATTAGAAGGTAGTTAGTCTTATGAGTATGACACTGTTAAAAAGGACATGCGAAACTACTTCCCCAACATATTATGGTGACTATTTATCTCCATAATTTGCAATATGATGTGGAGGAAATTAAAAGACAACTCCTTGTGACCTTTCTATTATTTTCTGATGTACTATATGTCAGCTTGCAAAAGCTGTCCATAAACTAAATAATGCAAAAAGCAATTCATAAGAGTTAGACATGTAGACAGTTTTCAAACTTTATTGGAGAAGGAGAGATCTCCTATTTTAGGGTTGTTGTGCTAACTTACATGCCAAAAAACAGAGAAAAGGAAGTGAGTAAAAAAGCTAATAGAAACAACACAAATTAAACAAAACAAATAAACAAATCAAAATAACGTGGGTGGCAGCACCTTACCAGTTTTGGGTGTCAAACTCAAATCTGTGTCAGAAGAAGAGGACTGTCGACTGTAGGACTTGGAAGGTGAAAAGGAATAGATTTGGTTTTTCAGAGGGGTGGAGGGTCCTGATGAATGAGGATTGGGATTGGGATCTTCATTGAAAGGAATCCTGCCAGAAGAAGGTGGAAACATATTCAGTGATCCTATGCCAAAGGACCGGGCTGATAGCAGCATGATCCCAACAACAGGGTGTGGGAAGGGATGGGGAAGGGCCACTAGTTGTCCTGAAGTGCAAAGATGGATTATGAGGCCAAAGGCAACGGCAAAAAACCAAAAAACAAAAAGTTTGTTTAACAACTCAGCATTATTGTAGGGAGATGGCAAATATTTGATAGCAAAACAAAAACAAGAACAGAATACACAGCTGAGGAATGAAGCATCAAAAACCAAGAAAAACAGGCAAAGAAAGTAAAACCCATCAAAACCATCACAGTGCAAAATGCTTTTTTGAACCAGATTATCAAAAAGGAAAACAAAGACAATTGCAGACCATATATCTGTGTGTTTATATACACACAGACACAGACACTTATATATACACACACACATATATATTTCCAAGAAAGTTTCCTTATCCTTTAGCATCTGCAGTGTGCCACAGCTAAAAACAAAGAAGGAAACCAGACTGATAACATTGTATTGACAACCTTGGTTACATTTAATAGTACCTTACCTGTTTGTCCAAATTAAGACTTCAGTCACAGAAACATCTTTGAGGACATCATGATTAAGCCTGAAGCCCAATCAAGATGTATATTTTCCCCCCATGACAAGGGATATTTTCACACCTTAGGTTTTTCAGTTTATAACTGGAAAGGGAAAAAAACTCACACACACACCAAGCAAAAGTACAGAGAGAGATGCTTAAATTCCAGTCGCCTATCACCTCTGTTGTATCAGATGAAGACTAATGTAGTTATTTCCAGGAGTAAGACTCCCAGTGAGAAAAGTTTTGTGGTACCTGCCTACACTGCCTGCCTGCCTGCCCTTTGCAGTCACTGTGCCTGTAGCCTGTCTCTCCCCAGCTTCTGAGTCTGAGCAGTCTCGTACCAGTGTAGATGAGAGTGGGAACAGACACAGAGAAGTTCTGAGTAAGCCGTGAGCCAGTAGCTGTGTGAATTGGGCTGTTGTGAGTCGAGCGACATCCATGGCTTGGTGGATGAACCAGCGGAGACCTGAGAGAATTTGCAGCCAAGGCGGAAGGAAAGAAAAAAAATACATACAAAAGATTGCAAAGTTACATTTAAAAAATATTTCAGGGAGCTTTAAGAGCAGGCTCTAAAGCAGGGGTGTCAAACGTAAGGCTTGAGGGCCTTATCATATCTTTTTGTGGTTCCCAACATGGCCCACAGGACACCTACCATATTTCACAGAACTTCAGTCTTGTGAGCCAAGAAGCCAAAAATGGCAAACTGGCATGCTTCCTCGCAAGCAGATCAATCGACGACATGGCTCTAGCCTGCCACTCCAATTTATCTCATGCTAAGTAAAGGCCTCAGCAAATTAATTATGCTCACACAAGGGAGATGAACTAGGGAGCCATTGGACAGTGGATTCTGACAGGAGCTTCTCGTTCATAGCTCCCCCCCGCCCCAGTCAGGGATATACACCAGACAGTGAAATACTTGAAATTGTGGTGTGAGGGGGGGGGACTCAGCAGTAGATGTTTAACAAATTGTGCTGGGATTCACTTTTTTTATTTTTAAAAAATGGATGTGGTTCCCAAGGATCTACTCACTGAGAAGTTGGCCCTCCAACTCATTTTTTTTACACCCCTGCTCTAAACAGTTAAGATGAAATCTTAAGAAAGCAGCTAAGCATTACCTTGTTAAAAGTGACATTGTATCTGTAGCAATGTGTTAACTGGGAAGAAAGAAACACCCGTAGGTGCCTGCGAATCTTGTAATACCTGGATTCAATGCAATTTCTTTAGACTGGCTTAATTCTGTTTCTAATAAACATAAAAATCTTAGCATGCAAGGTGCAACAAGGGAATGGAGAAATAATGTTTCCATTTTCTTTTTAAGATGGAATGACAACAGATGTAGGGCCAACATTCTTAGCAGGTTATTAGATGTGTAAAAGCAATGTGGCAATTGCATGGTTTTACTTATGGACCTATGATTCCACTACAGGGAAGCTTTGTAAAGAAAAACTGTCTTCCTTTTAAAAAAAACATGGCTCTTAGCAAAAAGATGGGTATATACAAATTACTCATAATATATGAGTTTCTCATGTTTTCTGATGAAAATAAAACCCAGTAGCCCATACTTCTCTAAACTCTCACTTGTGCTGAGAATTGGAAAAGGCAAGAAACAGCAGGGAAAAAATATATTCTGGGTTGCAGTATTTCTCTCCATACTAAGGCTAAAAGGGGGGAAATCTCTACTCTTCCCCCCCCCCCAAGCCCTCTGTGCATGCCAGAGGATTTGAGGAAGGATGTATGTTGCAAGATCAAGTAAAGGTTGGCTAGCAAGCCAAGCCAGTATCTGTGGACCAGTCTCATGGCTAGCTGAAAACAGAAATAAATAAAAATAGCCAGTGACATTCGAGTTCACAAAGCGTTTTGTTTTGATTGTCTGATCAACCATGACAAAGTAGCATCAACTCTGAACAATGAATGAAGCTAATTCAGAATGAAGATTTGGAAGCATTTATCTTACCAGTGCAAAAGCAACTTGACTAGCTATCGCACAGACTAACTTTGGTCATATATCCTGCATTTAGCTATCAACTGCTTTCACACAGATCATGTCAGTGTGGTGCTTCCTGCAGGAGCTCATAAAACCTGAGCCAACCTTAGAGGGATATGGAAACAGAATGTGACAAGTTTAACTGCAGAATTATGAGATAGGCGTGAAACCTAAGGTTCAGCAATCCCAGCAACAGCAGTGTACAAAGCATATTGACAAAATATACAGTTACGGGAGGGTGAGTCTAACATTTGCACATACTTCAATGTATGAAAATAATTATTTTCAATAATAAGCTCCTAAATAACGGATAGTTTTCAAGATTCCAGCTATCTCAACTAGAGCACACATAATCCCAATTTACACACACAGAAAAAACATATGCTGGTCCTTCTCTTAGGGCTGGCATAAAAAAGCCTTTATGGTGCTGTAAATGTAGCTAGATGCTATTTCACCAGGCATATACATAGCTTTCCCAAACAAGGTGCTTTCAGGCTGGCATGCTACTATTTTTGTTTCACTTGCTCATGCTAAAAACTGAACTCCATGAACTATAAGTGAAGTGAAAGCTTGCCTACTATTTCAGGTCAAAGAGCAGCAAAGACAACTTGGTGCTTCCCTCTCTTATTTAGAATAAAGGCAGATATAAGAACCTGATAGAAATAGCTTAACACATATTAGCATCTTATGGTATTATAGCATTTGATATTCACATTCTAATACTTTTGTCTCTTATGCAGATGCACATTCAGACTACAAGTACTGGAAACAGAAGGTCTGTTGAAAAATTGTAATATGGCAAAAGATTCTGAAAGACAAAACATTCCATTGATGCAGGTTCACCACCAGTAAAACTCGCACATTGAACTGCAACGTAGAAGAGGCAAACACCATCAGCAGCACCTTGTGTAACACTGCTAGAATTATATATGGTATGACTGCATAGGCATTTGTCACACAAATTTTATTTCTGCAGCATCTGGTCAAATAGGACCATCAGTTCATTTTGAATCCCCTCAGATTTCTAAATTCCAAAAAATTACCAACAAGATTGGTAGGCAGGAACGTGTGTATGAAATCACAGAAGACAAATGAAATTATGCAAAACTGTATGAGTATATAAACAAAACATGAAAATCTCTTTCCAATGAACATCTGACTCATACTTACTCCTTCATATCTTTGGATGGGGAATTACATGTGGGTAAGAATGCTGATGTGTTACTTAATTTATCCAAGGTACAGGCTGTTCCTATGGCTCGTACTACTAGTCCAGATTCTCCCTCCAGATCAAAACACTGCAAATAGCCAACAACTGCATTCCCTCTCATTTCAAGTACCTTCAAGCCAATCTTCCTTTGCAGCTCTCCTGCAAAAGAGGTATATGCCAGTTAGCCAGAAATTAACTTAAAATATATTTGCAAGTCTGATAATAAGAAAAAGATGAGAACAGAAAAATGTATTCACATTTAGATAGCATGATTTATTCATTTTTTAAAAATTTTGTGCTCTGTCATCCAGATGTACATGGGCTTAAGGACTGTTTCACCAGTTACAATTTTACAGATGCATAAAAATATTTTATAGATGCCTATAGAACTGCTACAGGGAAGCTATGGCCCTTCTGATGTGGTTGGACTCATTCTTCAGGTCTGATGAGCCTTCAACATCTAAAGGGCCACAGGCTTCCTAACCCTGTAGTAGAAATAACACAGATGCAGATATATGCTTATTTGCAAACAAGTTTCCTGTACACAGGTTAAATTCATGACAACTATATAGTCTGTGAAGTGGCCCTTAGTGTCTCTGCTGAAACTTTTTATAACCATGAAAATAGACGCCAAATATTTTTCAAGCCATTTTCTAATATATTATAATACTGATAAAATAGGAGCTATTATTCAAATTTGCTACACTTTTATTTTAAAACAGCACAATCCTCCAGAGCCTTTCTTCACATGCAGAGGAAGTCCCTAACTCACTGAGGGTTTGAGATCCATTGGCTACCCTCTCCTGGTTTAGACAGCTAGTCAAAGCTGGACCCTGGGTATGGCTGCTGTTGCATGCTGACAGCTTCTAGGAGCAACAGCTGATGTATTAGTGCTAAACAAAACAACAATGGACACTGTGTGTGTGTGTGTGTGTGTGTGTGTGTGTGTGATCTCTCTAAATATAAATATAAATTATGCCAGCTTCATTCCTATACTCATTTACTCAGTAGTAAACTAAGTTCAGAATAAACATAGATAGGCAGTGCTGAAATCCATTGCCTAGAAAAGAATTTAGAAACGCTCTCTAATGTGCAAAATTGATCAACAAGAAATCTCTAGGGAGCAGTGTTAATAGTAGGCAAGTGCATTGAGACTGTAAACCCATCATTAGTACGAGACCAAAAGTGTTTTCCTGCAGACTACAAGCAGACTTTAAATCTATTTGTAGATCATTTTCTGTGGCAGGCCCGATTGTGTTGCTCTTGCATGTACTATGTAAGCATTCAAAGATTGATGCAAAATTTGAAAATAAATGGACACTGAAACTTTAGCTATACAAAAGAATTACATCTTCTGTATAACAGGATGTAATTTAAATCATCTTTCCATGTTGTTACGGATATTAAAAAACAACCTTCAAAACTAAATGCTTGTGACCACACACCTCCTCCAAACTACAACTGAACATGTCACAAAGCAAGCAATTTATAGAGCATGTGGAGGTGCTTGAAGAGCAAAAAGTAGAGAAATGGTGCAGAAATCCCCACAGTCCTTCAGAGGGACTACAACCCCCTCCAAAGGAGGCAATATTCCATCAGAAAGCACATAACAGATTTCCAACTTTTAAATACTGTAAATAATACACTTTCAGAAAGTAAAAAAAATATTTTTGCTAAGTGCTAGAACTACTATAATTAGTGCAAAACAAACAACTGTAGGCTGAATCAGCGGCCAAGTATATGAAAAAGAATCATTAAGCAGTTAAGAGCAGATCTTCACTCATTCAGTGTCTACACTGTTATTCTGTAAAGATTGCTTACATAGTTCAACATTTCAAAATGACCTTTGAAATTCCAACTTTCCAGGGGATACGTGGCTGCTGTATAATGTGAGCTAAAGTTTCAACACAGACTAGAAATCACCACCCCCAAGTTGCAATTACTGTATCTGTTTGTAAATTATTGCTATATTAAGTTACTGTATATGTTAACAAGTGAAATGTTTACCAGTTACTATTAATATGATTTTTTGTAGACTTCCTAATACCCAAGAGAGAAATTATTTTTATCTGTTTAAAATAAATGTAGAAAGCATTTTCATCATAAAAATAACAAACTAGTTTACTGTATTTGTTTTTTTTGTAAAGAATGTAACAGATATCCAGTTCATTTAAAGCTGGTATTAAGGATCAGTGGCCAGGATTGACAACTGTGACAGGTAAGCTTTTACTGGCTGGGGAAACACCTGCATCATATCTCTAAGTGGAGGTCATTCGACAATGTGAGTGTCATAGCAGAGAAGGCCCTCCTTTCAGTCACGTGATGCAACTCTGCTGGACGTGCATGACTAGAAGGGCCTTCCACAATGATGAGCTGGTTTATACAGGGACTGAGCTGGTTTAAACAGAAGGAGGCCCTCAAGTGGTCTGGTCCCAAGCTGTACAGGGCTTTGTAAGAAGAGTAACAAAACGTTACAATCAGTTTGTCAGCAAACAGACAACCAGCACAATTCCTCTGGCACAAAAGTAATATGTGCATGGTAGGATAGTCCATCAAGCATCCTAGCCACTGTATATACCACCAAATCAGCCTCAAGGGCAACTACAAATAGAGTGAATTGCAATAATCCAGTCTAAAAGTTACTTGTTTTATTTTATTTACCAAGATTTATATGAATAACCTCTACATAATTACTAATGCATTTACTAGCTTGTGGCCAAGTTACCTCTGCGGAGGAACTGGTGCAGCTTGCACAACAGTTGCTGTTGGTGGAATGTTGTCCTAACCACCATGGCCATCTGAGTCTCCAGTGGCAAGGATTGTTCAGGAAGCAGCCCTGAACTACAAACTTGATACTTTTCTATTCTTTCAGGTAATGTTAACTATAAAATGTTCAGCTGGCTTTAAAACAAAGTAATAAAATCTGCAAAACATCTCAACAGAAATTAACAGAAATGCAGAGCCTTTATTAGATTAATGTGTGTCTTTTTCAAGGCAATAAATGATATTGTAATTACCTGACATTAATGAAATAAGCCTCTGCCTGGCCTCATTTGATGCCCTTGGTGTACGGATTCGGTCTATCCACTGATATTCTGGATCTTCATTAACCACCAGTTCTTCTACAAACCCATGAATGATTACAGCTTTATAGCACTTTGGAATAGAAGTAGCTGTTAAAAGCATAAGCACAGTGTAAAATTTTTAATTATTTAACACAACTATATACTACCTTTTCCCACAACTCATTCCAGGCTGGATTATAATAAAACAATTTGATTTTTTTAAAAAAAAGAAATACACCCCCCCCCCCCCGCAAAAAAACCATAAAACACAAAGATAAAAAGCTTACAGATGAATCATGCTAAAAACATCAAGCACTAAAAAGAAATTTTAAAAACCACTGGTACCAAGAAGCCTCTTGGAAAGAGCATTCCATAGCTGGGGCACCACAGCCAAAAAAAAAAGCCCCCTTGCTAGTTGATACCCATCTCACCTCCAAAGGAGGCATTCGGAGTAAGGGATCGGAAAAGGACTGCAAAAGTGTGGGTAGTCTGGTATGAGAGTTGTGGCTCCTTCAGCTATCTGGATGCCAAAATTATTAAGGGTTTAAATATATGTATGTATGTATGTAGGCACGTGGGTGGCGCTGTGGGTTAAACCACAGAGCCTAGGGCTTGCCGATCAGAAGGTCGGTGGTTCGAATCCCCACAACGGGGTGAGCTCCCTTTTCTTGGCCCCTGCTCCTACCAACCTAGCAGTTCAAAAGCATGTCAAAAATGCAAGTAAATAAATAGGTACCGCTGTGGAGGGAAGGTAAATGGTGTTTCCGCGCACTGCTCTGGTTCGCCAGCAGCGGCTTAGTCATGCTGACCACATGACCCAGAAGCTGTACGCCGGCTCCCTCAGCCAGTAAAGCGAGATGAGCGTCGCAACCCCAGAGTCGTCCGCGACTGGACCTAATGGTCAGGGGTCCCTTTACCTTATTATGTATGTATGTATGTATGTATGTATGTATAAATCCATTCGCTTTGAATTGGGGATGGAAACAAACAAGCAGTCTCTTCTGGCACTTGTATTCTGCACTAACTGACTATTTTCAATCTAGAGAATATAAATCTTAAAAGCTTTATTTCTTTAGTACATCACTTATCTCATTTTTCACAGACAATTTTTTCCAACTATGTTTTTAGACTTACTGCAAAAAAATTTAACTCCACATGATGACTGTCTAAAACGATTTAAATCATTGAAGAGGTCTACTTTCACCACCACATTGATCTCTCCACGTATACCTGTTTGTAAAAAATATGCGAGAAAGTGAGAATTTGTATTACAATAGAAAAATAGTCTTCCATGATTGCTTTAAATATCGGAATACCATTGTCAGCCTAAAGACTCCCAAGGGGGTTCAGAATTAATTAAAGAACAGAAAACAATAGATAATCTATTAAAAGATGGTAAAAACAGAGCCACAAAAATACTAAAAATCAAATAGGTACTCAAATGAAAACTAAACACACCACATGGACTGGGCAATGGAGGTACTGGTAGAGAATGTCCTTTCACATGTCACCAGATCCTTCCTGACTAAGGTGAAGTAACCTATAAAAGGGCCTCTAACGAAAATTTTAATAACTGGGCAGATTCACTTAGCAAATGGAACATTCTTATTCAGTATTTCAGTCCCAAATAGAACTGGAATATTCTTTATTCTATGGCATCACATATAATAATAATAATAATAATAATAATAATAATTCATTTGTACCCCGCCCATCTGGCTGGGTTTCCCCAGCCACTCTGGGCGGCTTCCACAGAAACCAAAAATACACTAAAATGTTACACATTAAAAACTTCCCTGAACAGGGCTGCCTTAAGATGTCTTCTAAATGTCAGGTAGTTGTTTATCGCTTTGACATCTGCTGGAAGGGCGTTCCACAGGGCAGGCGCCACTACCGAGAAGGCCCTCTGCCTGGTTCCCTGTAGCTTTGCTTCTCGCAATGAGGGAACCACCAGAAGGCCCTCAGCGCTGGACATATTACAGTATAGCCATGATATACAACATGGAATACAACATGAAAGGTATGAGCAACTTTTATAGTGAATTAAAACTGCTTGGGAACCTGAAACTTGGGAAGACAAAAACAACCACAGTCTGCAAAAGTGTCAAACTGAAGAGTATGTCAAGAACAGATCTAAATAGCTGCAAGAAACCCTCCATAGTTATGTCCTAGCTGCAAGGATGGTGTAAGCCTGATGTCAAGTAAAACTTACTGCTTCAGCGCATTGCTTCACCACTCTGTGAACTCTAATCCCTTGAAACATGAGTCAAAGCCAGTAAGTTCATCAGGAAACTGATTGAGGAACACCCTTAATGACCCTATGTCATGTGCTGTATCCTTTTTAAAAGAGTACAGATCATTCCATAACACAGGTCTACTTAAAATAAAAGGCATTCCTTCCATAAATAGTTTTTTAAGGCAAGTTTTTCAGAAAATATTACGATGGCATAATGTAACTTAAAGATTACACTTGGTATTCTTAAAATTATCTTAAAATGTTAAGAATAACTGAAGTGACCACATTAAGTATATGGTCAGAATTCTTTGATTTGTTTCTAAAATTAATTTAAATTAAATTTCTTTCCACAAGGTTAATGTAGACATTTCAGTACTAATCGTTTATTATTGTTGGTTTTGTAACTGTTGTTTATAAAAACAGCATCACACACACACACACAAACTTAAATTACATAGAGCAACATCTAACTAGATCACTGACTTCTGTGAGTCTACTAACAAAGTATATCACCCAAAATCTGCATCACAACAGCTATTACACAGCACTGTTTAGGTGTTGCTCACATATTATATAATACTATTTTTGTCCAGATTTTCAGGGATTTAGCATTGGAAGATTTGTCATCCCAGTGCTATGATCCATGGCAAAAGAAAAAATGGCATTAACTTTAAACACAACTTCTTTATTTGAAACAACATGTGAAACTGAAAGAACTCAACTGATGTCTCAGGAAAGCTTAAAACTATGTTGTATTTTAAATGGCACAATAAGTCTACCTCAACGCTCTTAAATGATTTGCCAAATAAAATATGTTTTAAAACAATGTTAAAAATCTCACCATGTATCGTATCATAAATTGGAAACCAGCCAGAGATAACTGTAGCTGCTTCACTGTAGAGGAGAGGATCAATATCAATGTAAACTTTTCCAATGGCATCATTAGCACTATAAGTATCATGATCAAGAACAGTTATCTGCAGAGGCTCATCTTGTAGATCTTCATCATCCACCTAGAAAATAAAAATATGGAGCTTCAAAATTTCACAAGGCAGAATCTGTATTAACAAAACCTTTATTGATTCAAAATTGCTAGTTTAAATTCCCTGTGGAGCATACAATAAAGATTAACATGAAACTGGTAGGGGTCTCAAAAACTACGAATTCCAAATGGTTCTGTTCAGATGACCACTACAAAACATCCCCTTCTGTTTTTCAACTAGTTTGTTTTTCTGTCTGAAATGGGAACTGCAATTAAGTTTTTGCTACAGTTTATCTAAACAATCCAAAATCAGAAACCAGTTTGATCTTCTCTCTTTGGACAAACCAGATTAAACTAAGTACATTTTGTGCTGATTCAGACAAAATGAGGAGCTGCTGTTAGTTGAAAATGGACATTCTTTGGGCTTAATAACTTGCTTCTAAGTCTACCTTTTTTGTTGAATTTACCTCAAATTTAAACCATTCAGAATTCCACTGAGGATTGAGAGATTTGGGATACACATCTGTCTTAAATGTGGTGTTTCCAAACTTCACCTGAAAAATATACCAAAAAAAAGACAAATTGAAGCAAAATATTGTTCTCCACCTTTTTCCAAAACTTACACTTTTAAAATAAAGTTAATGCCATGCAATTGCTTTCAAACATTTGACAGACCATTGCTACATGTCTGTAAGGTGGGCCTTTAAATGTGATTGCCCTGACTTAACACTGTGAGTTCTTTGAGATTATAAAGCTGGGGGGTGGAAATTTTTGTCCTGGTATGCCAGTTCACAACCCCAACATCTAGATTGGCTCAAAGTTCCAAACCAGATAGTAACCAGCTTACATCTTCAATTCCAATGCAGCTAGTAAGCAGCTAGCACTTCTGTCCCTCAGCAGTTAGTCTGTTATACCTCCTAAGAGACAGCAAACAACAATGCAAAGGCTCAGAAGAATCTGGAAATGATTACTGAATGCACATGAGAGAAAACAGTGTGTGGTTTATGCCAGAACAGTGAGAATGAGAGAAAATGAGTTGGTGTGAAAGAAAATGTCTGTGCTTATATGGGAGATGAAAAGTGGGCTAGACAGTGAAAACAATATGCTCACTGTACCGTGTTTGTGGGTGAGCATGCTTGCAGATTCTACACATAATTATTGAACATGTGACCAAGTGAAGGACTTATACACTTGTAGATTATATCGTGAAAAATGAAAAACAAGGCAGAAAGAAAATTAAGATGTTCTTTGTGGGGGGGGGGGGGGATGTAGAGAAGGTCCCTTCAGGATTCATCTCCCAACTACAGCTCCATCAATACACATGTAAACTAATGTGTAAGATGGAAAGTTTCTATTCACATACAGAAGAGAGATTAAAAACGAGTACTAAAGCTATTTAACATGTGTAATTTTCTAATAGATGCAACTTTGAAATCTTTAGGATTCAACTCATATTTAATCAAAAAGACTCAATATCCCAAAATTTGAGAGGAGCTTGTCTGGAAAATTAGCCAAATTAGAAAATTTCCAAGCAAACACACAGCTTTGATTACCTAGCTAAAACACCTTGGGCTTCCTCCCTCAAACAACCATGAGACTGAAGGGCTTCTCGTTCATTTTTCTGCCTCTCAGTCTCCCTACCTTGCCCACAGAACTCTGCCTATCTCTAGGTTCCGTAAAAGGCCAACTGTCCTTTAACTTCCCCCATGCTTTTGAACATTCTATGGCTAACAGCTTAATTCACTCAGGAAATAGAATGTTCATCAACATTCATCACATTCCTATGGCTCAGCCAACATTGTCAGAAGCTTCATAACTGCTACAACGAAATTATTTAGTCTATTAATATACAGTAGGATCGCATCTTGAAGGATGTTCCAGGGGGTGGCATGTAAAGTCAAAATCGTGTATAATCAAAACAACCTCCTGGAACTACCCCTGTGCAAGCAATCTTACCTTCCAGAGCCAGCACAAGATCTCGCAAGGCCATCCAAGATCTCATGAAGGCCTCCAGAGCTCACAAGAGTTTCTCAGAGCCTGATAAGCAAGGCACAGAGCTTAAAGGCTCTTTCTGCACATGGTATTTTTTTTAATCTACAGAAGAATCATAGCTAATTTTAAACAGCTGAGGACAGGGAAGAATTAGTATTTATTTTGAAAACCTCAAAGAGTGATAACAAATTGTGGCATCCCACTTGCAAAGCAGACAACCACTCGCACAAATGTGAATTCTCTTCTCCCCATACTCCTCCAAAATATGCTCCAGATGGCTGAGGCGTCTCCAGAACTAGTTTGGAAAGGCATGGGGTTGGGGAGAAAGAGAAAGGAGTCTCATTATGTCTGCTGGTGAAATGTTGGATCTCACTCGAAGAGACTAAAGGTTAGTTATTATACAGTATTTCCTATTTGTATAACTGGAACACAATCGACACAAGTCTTCTTAATGTTGGAAAGTTTAGGTGCATGTTCAACTCAGAGAACAAGCACAGTTTTTTTCGGATGGCCACAAGGTTTTCTGCATCAGACTTGTATCTGACCTTTCAAGCATTGAAAAAGGCTTGACTTCCAATGTTTCCACCCACTGCATTTTGAAGAGCAGAATACAGAACAGAGGCATTCCACAGTGTAGTAATAGTATTCAACATGGAAGATTAAAGGTCAGTATTTTAAGCACACTTTTGTACAAAAATAAGTGGAATTAATATCTTTCTATGTGATTATTTACATACATACATTTTTTTTTGTATGCTGACTTTCCGCAGTCTACAATTGTCACAGAAGTTTATAAACAGCTAAATAATGTGAACAACCATGCCTCCTTCAAGGTGGCCCAAAATGAACCCTCTGGTCAAGTTGTATTCATTACCAAATACACAAGAGCAGGCAAAGCCTCTCAGCTGGCTGTCACCAGCTAGGACAGAAGAAAGTCAGGAGAGAAAATTGTTGACCAGACTTCCCCAAGTACTTTGTTCACAACCTCAGGTGAAATCCATCACCCATGCAACTGCTAAGGGACATCCTATACAGTTCCTGTAACTGGCTTGTTATCCAAGACAGATCATATTTCAAGCATATCAGAGTGAGTGATATTTGATTCCAAAGAATCACAGTCATCCAACTGTATCAGCCTCCTGTCTTTCCTAAGCAGCACTGCCAGATGGCATTCTGCAGTTGCAATATCAGTGGGAAATATTTCTTTTACTACCACCACCACCATCATCATAAAATAAGCTCTTAAATGGGCTTTAAACCACATTTGGTTCACAACTGTGTCCTGAATTATCACCAGATGTGCTCTAGCTGACATTGCAACTGATTTTACAACAGTGTAAATGAACAAACAGTGGATAACAGAAATGACTTAAATCTAGTCATCACCTTTTTTGCAAAGGCTCTTTGTCTTTAACACCCACATGAATTCCCACATCACAGAGATGCCCTGATAGGGGAAAAGTGATACCTATGTAGAAACTACTTGTATGCCCAGGACTTTGCAGGGCCGTCTTTACCCAGGGGTGCAAGGGGTGTGGGGCATCCGGGCACCGAATTCTGGGGGACACCAGGTGCCCACCACTGAAGCCGCCTAAGCTCTTAACTATCTACCTGTTATGAAATAATAAATAATTTTGATCAAGCTAGAAAAACACAATACATATATACCTAGGTATTACCAAAATGTATACCTACTGTTTCACTAAAGGACTTTCAACTTTGTGTGTTCATTTACCAAAGATGCACCGTGCCAGTGGCGGCGCTTGTCAGACTCAATGATGCCGCTCACAACTAAATTTGGGGGCGCTGGGCGGATCGTTGCACCCCGGTGGCACATATGCTAAAGACTTGTCTCTTGCCTCTGCATTGTCCAGGATTAAAGGTAAAGGTAAAGGTAAGGGACCCCTGATCATTAGGTCCAGGCATGACCGACTCTGGGATTGCAGCGCTCATCTCGCTTTACTGGCTGAAGCAGCCGGCGTACAGCTTCCGGGTCACGTGGCCAGCATGACTAAGCCACTTCTGGTGAACCAGAGAGCGCACAGAAACGCCGTTTACCTTCCCGCCACAGCGGTACCTATTTATCTACTTGCACTTTGACATGCTTTCGAGCTGCTAGGTTGGCAGGAGCTGGGACCGAGCAACGGGAGCTCACCCCGTCGCGGGGATTCGAACCGCTGACCTTCTGATCGGCAAGTCCTAGGCTCTGTGGTTTAACCCACAACGCCACCCAGTTAGTGTCCCAGCTGCACCTGTTCCTTGAGATGTCTGATTTGGCCAGTGACACAAGCCTTAGTTACGTCCTGTTTGTGTTACTCTAATAAACTCTATGCAGGGCTGCCTTTGAAAGGTACTCAGAAAGCTGCAGCCAGATTGTTGACCGGGGCTGATTACAGCAAGCATACAACTCTTTTGCTACAACAGCTTCACTGACTGTTTCTGGGCAAAATTAAAAGTGCTGGTTATCCCCTTATAAAGTCGTACACAGCTTGGGTCCAGGCTATCTGAAAGACTGTATTCCCTCAAACAAACCTTTGAGATCTTCGGGGAGGCCCTTCCCGGGGAGGCCAGGCATGCTTGGCAGGGGCATGGGTGAGGGCTTTCTTGGTGGCTGTGCCCAGACTTTGGAGCTCCCTCCCTAGAGAAACAAGACGGTCTCCTTTCTTGTTGTCCCAATAATTTATGGGAGAAAATTTGATATGCTTTAAATAGAATTAAAACTGTATACATATATATAATCTATCAATGTTTGATAGGTTTTTAATTATTGTTTTTTTCTATGGTTTTATCAGTTCGTATTATTATCTGTAAGCTGCCTTGGGTCCCATCAGTGGGAAAGGTGGGGCATAAATAAATTATTGTTGTTGCTGTTATCATTATCATCATTATCATCATTATTATTTCAGAACATTATACAAGTCTTAAAAACACAGAAGCTCTGTGAGGAAAAAGATGGCAAGCATTCTCCCTACAATAAGCAGGCATAATAAGTACATTACGTATAGAAGTCTGCAAAGCAATTACTGTATTAAAGGCACAATAATTGTTATATGTGAGAAACTAACAACCCTAAACATGTCAATTTAGTACAATGAATAATAATTTGCTTACATGTGAGAGATAAAATTTCAAGCTCTTGTTCATTAAAGAGGTAGAAAAAAGCCCACCAAACATAGTCAACAGGACCACAAAACCAGTTTTCAATGCCTGAACTGAGCTCAGGGACAAGTTAAATAGTAAAGATAGTATTTCCATCACTACTGAAGAAACACAACCAACACCTATCTATAGCTAATAAAAGGAAAGCATATGGTACAAAAAATATGAAATGACATTTCTCCTTTTTTAAACTAAGCATTGGGGGAAACAATTCCTTGAAAAATTACTTCAAATATTACATCAAACCACTTTCATATAGACCTTTTATACCAGTACTGTATAAGAAATAAAATCTTCATGTAGACTACTATGTGCAGCATACCGGGCAACTTCATATATTATGTTTCTTTACTAGTAGACGTGTTCTGCCTGTATGTGTACTCAAATATCTGTAACACACGTTTCTGGTCACATGCAAATACACATGCCAAGAGTAGCTCTAGCTCTCTGCCATAAGTGCACTGGCAAACACACAAGCACCTAGCATACAAGCCAGGAAAACAAGTTACCATCTATATCAGGCCTGCATGGCATGCAATTCACCTAGTTGTATATAATCCAGCAGCCATGTCCTGTGTACTACAAGGCAACTACTGTTTGTACAATTCTCGGCAAGAACTGAACACAGATTTGATCAAGAGGTTGGAGCAACAATATTTTACACTTTTTAGTTTAGAAAAGGAGAGGACATGGAAGAGGACAAAAACTCTTCCTCCCCCAGTAGCAAAGCATACATCAAATGGACATTGCGGGGGGCTGGACTAGATGACCCACTGAGTCCCTTACATCTCTGTCGTTCTATGTTTCAATGAAATTGCAAGACAACAGATTTTTGGTTGGATATTAGGAGATTAATGGTAAGAGGGGCAGGTGAGGCTCATCAACCTGGGAAGGTAGCCTGCCCATCTAGGAGATGGAAAATTCTAATCCTAAACCAGGGGTCTGCAACCTTTAAGACAAAAAGAGCCACTTGGACCTGTTTCCAAAGAAAAAAAAACTGGGAGCCGCAAAACTCGTCATTATAAAAATAACTTTTTTGTCACTTTTTTTCATTATTTCTTCGTTTGACCCCTCAGAATTACTCCTCCTCATAGAAATAAACGTTAAATTAACAAGTTACCTTTTTGTGTGTGTGTGTGTTCTTCACTCCCCTTCAAAACAGTGACCAGCGTACATGCCCCCTTTCAATGCAGTGACCAGCGTACATGCCCCTTACAATGTAGCGGGTGGGCGGGAAGGTGACGTCGGGACGGTGCGTGACTAACACACGCACCGCCCCCATGCGACGTCACAGCCAGTACAGCGCCTGCCACAGTGGGGAGTGTCGGGGCGCACAATGCGCCTCGTCTCCTCGCTAGTATCCGCCCCGGAGCCGCGGCAAAGGTGTAAAAGAGCCACATGCGGCTCCGGAGCCGCAGGTTGCAGACCCCTGTCCTAAACCTTTGCTGCCTTGTGGGACATCTTTGGGAGAAAAAAGGTTAAGGAGCAAACACTACATAAATTCGGAGTGGAGTCCCTAAAGATGGCTGAATGGCTCTTTGTACGCCTCCTTCCGCCAACTCCTACAGCCAAGCTGGTGCCAAACATATTGCTCTGCTTTCCTTTGGACCACATCAGCGAGGCCAAGAGGGGGTTCTTGTCATTTGGGCAGCCCAAGACCTTTATATACACTGCCCAGGCTGTCACTTTGTCACTTTGGTGCTGCTAACACAGGAGTTTGACTTCAACACTGGAGGCGTACTCCATTATGTCTCGACACACACAAATGTCAACAACAGAGAATACTGCTGTAATAACCTTACATATAATCTGATTAAGAATATACTATACATTCATGCTCATTTTCTATTCAACCTGGCCCTTTATAAAAACTTATTTAGAATTTTTATATCTTTATTTTCCCTTTTCTGTCATATAGTGTATTCACCAATGTATGTGCTTTTCAAGTTGCTTGGGAGATCTTTCTGGGTGACAAGCGACCAGTACAGTGGTGCCCCGCAAGACGAATGCCTCGCAAGATGGAAAACCCGCTAGACGAAAGGGTTTTCCGTTTTTCAATGCGCTTCGCAGGACGAATTTCCCTATGGGCTTGCTTCGCAAGACGAAAACGTCTTGCGAGTCTTGAGATTTTTTTTTCGCTTTCCCCCCTTTTTCTAAGCTGCTAAGCCTTTAATAGCCTTTTAGCAGCTAAGCCGCTAAGCCTTTAATAGCCGCTAAACCGCTAATAGCGCTAATCCGCTAAGCCGCTAATAGGGTTGCTTCGCAAGACGAAAAAACCGCTAGACGAAGATACTCGCGGAACGGATTAATTTCGTCTTGCGAGGCACCACTGTAAGTAGTAATAATGCATTGTGATTAGTTGCTTATTTAAGGTGTTCATACATACCACTTGCTTTTCACGCAGGCCTCGCAATGTGGTTTGATTGGTTTGATCTACTGAACGATTTATTAAATAATCAAACAATAACAGAACATGAAAAAGACACACACACACACATGCATACACACACGTGTGTATTTCACTGTGTGCTGTATGCAAATTTAGGCAATTAATGTTTTCTGTTATTACTTATGGTGGGTGTGTTGTTGTTTTCTTAAATGTTATGTAAGATGATATACTGAAGTATTGCATGATTCCCCCCTCCCCTTATGGTATTAAATAGGTACATAGTAATAATAACAATTTATTACTTGTACCCCACCCATCTGGCTATATATTTCTGCAAGTTGCTTGGAAAACTTTGGGTGACAAGCGACTAGTAAGTTTAATAAGAAATAAAATAAATTGCATTTTTGGCACCTGCTAAAAACACCACTGTTTAGAGAAGTTGAGATGATTCTAATTTGTTTTAGTATTTTAACTCTTGTATGTTTTAAAGTAGGGTTGTGATTTTTGTGTGTGAGAATTTTATCCTAAACCACTTTGAGGTGGTTGTTGTTTTTAACAATGGGGGGGGGGTGTGCAGAAAACTATTTCACAAAACTTATACACCCCTTGATTGTATTTATTTTTAACGAAAGCGCATTACAAAAAAATAAATAAAACAGCAATAATAATAACAACCAACCACCTTACAAAACGGGCTAAAACCACCTCGACTTCCCAAGCATCTGGGTAGTCTAAAAAGCGGGTAGGCTTTTTTGTTTTTGTTTTTCTAAGCATGCGCGGGAAAGGCGCCTGCTGGACCTCAAGTGGCAGGGAGTTCCGAAGTTCTTCACAAACAGGAGGAGGGCGCCGCACGGCGCCAGCCCCGCCGGTCGAAGCGCCGAGAGGAGACGACCTCGGAAGCACAAATGGCCCCCGGCAAATCAATAAATGCGAAGAGCCGCAGGTGTATTGACCGGGGCCGAGCCCTGAGGAGAGACAGAGACCGAGAGAGAGAAGCCCCTCCCGCCTTCCCGCCCCTTCAAACCTCCACGAAGGCGTCTGTCAGGTCACTGGCTCGGTCCATGACGGGCAGGTGCCGCCCCGCCACAATCTTGACCTTCAGCTTCCCGGGCATCTTCCTTTCGCCTCAGTCTCCTCCTCCTCTTCGCCTTCCGCCCAGGGCGGCTGAGGTAAAAGCCCGAGGCGGGCGGCCCATAGAGCGGAGGCTCAGTCCAAGGAAAGCGGTGACCGGGGGGGGGGGGGAGGGAGAGCGCAGAGAGACCGAGGCAGAAACGGTGTAAACGTCGCCCGTGCGCATGCGCATCCCCCGCGCGCGCACGGGCGCGAGCAGAAGGTACCCTCCCCAACGGTCCTCCCCGAGCGCCTTAAGCACGAGGCTCTCCACGGCTTGGGCTGCGGCGGCTCCCCGCGCCTGCGCACTCGTCGAACAACATCGCTCCTCTCTTTCCCTTCACCCTCCCCGCCCCAGATGATTTTCCTTCCCTCAAGCCTGTTTTCCCTGTGTCTGCGCGTGCGCGAAAGGGAATGCGGTTACGACGGGTGACAAGGGACGATGGCGACTTCCGCGCAGGCGCGTTAGCTTGCAGGCCTGTTGCCATTAGCCGGCTAACTGTCTCAGCGCTGATGGGGGTCGTTTTAAATAAATTATTTTAAGTGGTCCTCGGGCCTCCACCCATTGAACCTCTTGTTTTGGGGTGGGGAGAAAGGGGCGCGCCCTCCTCGTCAACCCGTTATTTAAAACGGGGCGGATAAAGCGGGAGCCGCCGGTGGAGGCCAGAGCAGTATCGAGCGCCGAGTCGTCGATAGGAGCCCCGCTTGCGGTTTCCAAGGTTACCTTCCCAGGCCGCGCGGGAGAGCACCGAGCTGGAGATTGATGGGCTTTTCCATGCCTGCAAGCGGGGTTTTGTTGCTGCTGCAGCTGCAACTGCGTTAAAAGGCCTCTTCACAGCCTGGAGTTGGGTTTCCTAGCATACCTTTCCCGCCCCGACCTGGCCACAGTGATCCATGCCACGGTCACCTCCAGGCTTGACTACTGTAACTCGCTCTACGCGGGGCTGCCCTTGAAGCTGTCTCAGAAACTTCAGCAGGTGCAGAATGCTGCAGCGAGGCTCCTCACGGGGTCCCTGCCATGGCAGCATATTCACCCAATGCTTTTCCTTTTTCTTAATATAATTTTTTATTAGTTTTTTTTTAACATATCATTTTCAACAGCAATTAAACATACTTTTACATCTTATTCACATTTTTCACTTCCATCAATCCTGTCTGAAAATTTTCCAATCTAATCTCTCAGTATGCATTTCTTATCTTCCCTATTACATTTCAAACTCATAACCAATATCTCTATCTTTTTCTACTTTGTAACACTTCTTATATTTCTCGTTACAAAACTTCTTGTAGTCCTACTAGCGTAATTTGTTGATTACAGTTGCTCTTCAAATAATTCATATACTTCTTCCAATCTTCTGTAAATCTCTGGTCCCGCAGGTTTCGAATCCTTCCTGTCATTTTGTCCAATTCTGCATAGTCCATTAATTTCGTCTGCCCACCCAGTGCTTTTGCAGCTGCACTGGCTCCCGGTGAAGTACAAGGTCAGATTTAAGGTGCTGGTTTTGACCTTTAAAGCCCCTCATGGCCTAGGACCCTCGTACCTACGGGACCGCCTCTCCCGCTATGCCCCGCAGAGGACCTTAAGGTCCATAAATAGCGACACCCTAGAGGTCCCGGGCCCTAAGGAAGTTAGATTAGCCTCAACCAGAGCCAGGGCTTTTTCAACTCTGTCTCCGGCCTGGTGGAACGCTCTGCCTCATGAGACCAGGGCCCTGCAGGATCTGATTTCTTTCCGCAGGGCCTGTAAGACAGAGTTTTTCCTCCTGGCCTTTGGCTTGGAGTCAATTTGATTCCCTCCTCCTCTTTTTTTCCCCCTTCTCCTGTGATGAAGCTGCATTTTAATGTTTAAATGTTGTATTTTAATCTTGTTTTTAAATTGTATTCATTCAACTTGTTTTTATTGCTTGTTAGCCGCCCTGAGCCCGGCCTTGGCTGGGGAGGGCGGGGTATAAATAAAATTTATTATTATTATTATTATTATTATTATTATCATCATCATTATACCTCTCTCTCCCTGTACGAGTCTAGGCCTGCAAGCCACGTCAATTTTTGCTTGGCCTCCTCACGTCTTGGTTGACAGCCTAATCCTAGGCTTGAAGATTCCATTGAAAGATGATGTTCTGTAATACTGTGTGTTTTGTAGCAGGTTTTGGGGGCTGCAGTACCTGGGCATAAACCCCACTGAGTTCAATAGGACTTGCTTTTCAGTTACCTGTTGTCAATATTTGCACGGTTAAATCTATTACCAAGTCTGTTGTCAATATTTGCACGGTTAAATCTATTGCCAAGTCTTTCTGTTTATTGCACACTAAAAACAAAACCTCTTAGTGACTTTCTAGCACGATAAATTTAAACACTGGATGCAAAGGCTCCATGTTTCCTTGCGGCTTTAGAAAGCTGACTTCTGGTGTGTCGGGCCTTACCTGGTAGTGGCCAATAGCAGGCAGCTGTCTTAATTTCCCAGAATGCTCCAGAGTGATGCATTGGTGTGGAATTTAAATGGCCACTTATGGGATGCAGTCAGTGACACATTGATCAACCAATGATCTATAACCAGGGGAGGGGGGCCGAGAGGTTAATAAAGGGCCGAAGTATATTTAATTGGGGGTGGCTTTGCCTTGCATATTAGATTTCTGAAAGTGAAATTGCAATATTGGTCACATTCCAAGTCCTTTTAACTTGGATGGTCTTAATTTTAAATTAGTCAAATAAGAATTACTCTCTTGCTCCCCCCCCCCCATATATGTGAAAAGTGCTGCACCTTCAAGTAATCACAGGGTTCCAGCAATGGGAGTATCCTCCTTCTGATGCTGCATTTGAGATTTAAGAGATTTAGGGTATGTCCAGGCAGGTGTTTGTTGTAGAATTGGTGCTCCACATAACAGCATTCACCAGTTTACACCCCCCCCCCCCATTTAATCCAGATTTCCTCTTTCTGGGGAAAATCTGGTATGTGCTAATAACCATTTGTGATATATGAAAAGCCAGTTTAGAAACACTATATTATTATTCATTATGCTGGTGGTCCAACCATCCTCCCAAGAAACTCAAGGCATTATGCATGGTCTCTTCATCTCTTAACCTCCCAACAACCCTGTGGGGAACATTACACTGCAAAAGAAAGAGAATGGATAACTCAACAGCCACCTCCAGTATGTTCCTCCCAATGCACTTCATTCAATATATCCTCCCATCCAGTAGAGGCTGATCCATGAAACGTGAATGGGGCTCTGCCCCGCCAGTCTCAGCCTGCCTTCTTTCTTACACATGATGAGGGTTTGGTTCTGCCTGTCATTACCTCTGGCTCTCTCTACTGTTGGTCTTCCTGGTTTCTGCCCTACCAATCCTGATGGGCAGCAGACTCCATGGCTCCTGTCAACTGAGAAAAAAGACTTCGTGCAGACCCTTGTTCCGAAAAGCTTGTGCCATGGCTCTATACAGATCTAAGCTTAATTCCCATTGAACTCATTGGAACCTGTGGCTGAGAAAGTTTGTGTAAGATTGCGCTCTAAATCTGTTCATCTTTAAGGTGTCGAAATACTCTTTGTTCTTCAATAGAATGGCACAGTCTCCTGGATTTTATTGCTATAAAATCATTTATTAACAGTTTATAACTTAATTGTACTGACAAGCATTAAAGATTTAGATGGATGACAAGGTAAGTTTGTTTAACATTAACACAATATTGCTGTATTGGCCTATCAGCTGTGAAACATCAGGCTTATTTACATCTTGAAGGGTATAAAAGAGGTTACTGCTGAAAGACAGTTACCATTCTGGTAAGAATAGTACTTTTGATTCAGTTTCTTTCATCTTCAGTGGGATAAGATAATATATATTGTTCTCTGACACCCACCCAATTTTATCCTTGCAACAACTGGAGGTAGGTTAGGCCAACAGATAGTAACTAACCCAGGGTCGCCCAGTGAGATTCATGGCTAAGTAGAGACTTAACTCTGGATTCCCAAGGCCTTAGCCATGTGTTTTAAGTGAGGGGGGGGGCTTGTAGTATTAAAGTCTGAAAACATCTACTGTATATGTATATGAATTACCTTTGAAGTACATTATAGTGGTGCTACCAATATTAACAGCATATCAAAAACAAAAAAGCACCTTAAGGACTGCAACTCTATGGCACACATAATATGTGGCAGAGTACGGTTTTTGTTTGTTTTGCGTTTCTGTGTTTTTATTGTCAACTGACTTGTGATCCTTGGAGAAAAAGTGTTATAGAAATTTAATTAATAATAGAATAATACCGTAATTATGCATTTGAAGATAGACTGTGGCAGATTGAGGGGACAAAACCAATTGTGGGTTCAACGGTCAAGAAGGCGGTTTCTGCACATGTTGTAGAGGGAAGTGAAGGGTAGGTGGGGTTCAGCCTGGGAAGGTAGCTCATCTAGGAGAAGGAAAACTCTGATCTTAAACCGCCGCTGCTTTGCAGGGTATCTTCAGAGGAAGAAAAGGCTCAGGAGTAAACCCTACACAAATCCAGAGTGGAGTCGCTAAGGCGGCTGGGTGGCACCTTGTACGCCTCCTTCTGGCAACTCCTGTAGCCAAGCTGATGCCAAATGCTTTCATTTGGACCACATCACTGAGGCTGAGAGGGGAGTCTTGTCGTCTGGGCAGCCCAGGCCCTCCATACACACTGCACAGGCTTGCGCCCTGGGAAGGTCACTTTGGGGCTGCTAATGCAGTAGTTTAACTTCACCCCCAGAGGCACTCCATTGTCTCTTGAGACAAACTGATGCCAACAACAGTAATCCTAAACCAAATTATTTCCGTGGGCTTAGGCACACTTAATTCTGCAAAGGATCAACTCCAAGATGTTCAGCCAAATCCTTTGCATGTGTACTTTGAAGTTCTGCTTATTTCCATGGGACTTACCGGTATTCCCAAATGTGGATATGTGTGTGTAGGATTTAAACCTCAGGTTGACAGCTTCAAACACACTGAGAAAGTTCAGCAGCAGCAGTACAAAACTTGTCATTGCCCATCCCCAACCAACTTTAAAAGGCCAGAACCATGGGGAGATATTTTCAGCAGTGTGATGGGGTATACGGTATTTATCTATACTATAATCTGTGTTCTCTTTGTAGAGACGTGCCAGGTATTTCTTAGTGCATTAAAAGAGATTAAGCTAGCTAACAAACAGAACAAAAACCCCTCTGTATTCTTCAAACTTAAGAGAGCAAATGCAGCTATTAAATCTCATGTGATGACACTTTGAGCTGCCTATTCCAAAATGAGCCAAAATGCTTTGGGTTTGTGTGCTTTTTGCTTTGGGTTCTTCAAACTCCACTACTTCAAAGGGCACTCAAGGTCATCTGTTGCTTCCCAAAGACCTTGGCTTCAGCCTGTATAAAGAACTTGCTTTTTGGACAAGAGAATAAATGTTTCCTCAGGATGGGGG